AGTAATTAAAAGCGACAAAGTTTTCCGTTTTTAGGGATTATTAATTAAAGGTAGGAAGTTTTGTCCCATCTATTTATCTTGTTTCTACATTTATGAATATGGGAGTTGTCCTTTGTTTACCATTAACGAAGCTTGTATCTTTGAGTTTTACCTTCAAAAGGTCCAAACAACTTTAAAGTAACTGTGCAGAAGTGTGTTTCTTTTACTGAACTTTACTTAGTTAGTTTTCCTTAGTAGTTATCCGGCTCCAGAACTGAAGAAAAGCTTTTCAAAGAAATTTTAGGTTACGAATTAATGGTATGCTAATTAGAACGTAAATGTATCTTACGCCGGGTGATTATTATTAACGTAAACATATTATGGAAAACCAAACAAATAAATAGAGAGCTGTTGAAAAGTAAGCTTTTAGAAGAAGGAGTAAGCAGTTATAGGAAAAGAGGAAGAAAGAAAGCTACCAAGAAGAAGGTTAATTTGAGGAAGGACTTTGCTAAGGAAGTTGCAGAATTGTGAAGTGAAAGAGTAAGTCACTCAGAAATAAAGTATATAACATAGTACTTATTTGGTTGTGAGAGTCACTGACGCCCCTCACCCCCGTATAAGCTTATTCGAGAGGGCAGAGGTGGGGGGTTATTTTGGAGAGTGACGCTTAATCAAGGAAATACGATAGTGAACATATATATATATATATGCAAAGCTGATCCTACTACGTAAAAATTAACTTTGCAAGACATAAAGAGGACACTGACAGAACCCAAACAGTGCGGGGTTGTTGTAGTAGACAACTGTTTCGTCATTATTGTCTTTCATCAGAAAAGCGTAACAAACAGAGAAGCTCTGCTGAGAAAATGCCAGCCCCCTCTAACCAAACATTGGACCGTAAAACATGAAAGTAGATCTACCCCACTCCCATCCCCCCAAAAGAACTGATACAAAGTAACAACATAAAAATCAAAGCCCTTCGACAGCCAAAGAGGCTAATTCAGTCCTGGTGAGTTCCAAACTAGTGGTAAAACTGAGCGAAACTAATTATATAACCCAACTTAACAAGCTATGACGAAATGGTCGCCTTTATTGCCGTGATTAACGACCCACCGCCATTTGTGCCTGATTTGTCCCTGGTACTAGGATCTTCCTAGCGAAAGCAGTTTACACGGTGCGAGGATCTTCCTACTCTCGCTAGGGACAAGTACATCCCTTTGCATGTAAACTGAATGCAGAAAATATATGGCTCTAGGATGATCCACTTTCTAGGATATTTCTCCCTTCAAGTAAACAGGCACTTCTGAGGAGAGGCACGAGCTAACTGATTATTTTCTGAGCAGAACGTTAGACGATTTGGCCTTCATATTTAAGCCTTTGTGAATCATTTGCCGGACAATGTTGTTACAGATGTTGTCTCAAAAATCATATTAGGTCCTAACAATTTGTTGAAGAAAAACAGTAAGAGACTTTAATTAATCTAAAAAACTACGGGGTATTTTCTTAGAATGAAAAAGCAATTTTGGCTCACAACAAGAAATGTTTTAAACTTGAAAAAGTCATGTAAAACTGGCTTCTTTCTACTCGAAGTTTTAATATTTGTAACGGATGAACTTAATAAAGAAAAACTTCTTCCTTCCAACGAGGTACATGTAGTTACTTGATTTTAAATGACTGACTAACTTTGTTTGTAAGTTCAAGATTGATAAAAAAAGCTAGTCCAAATCAATTCATGTCAGTTAAGTTCTTGTTTAGCGAAAGGGAAAGAAATAACACTATTGCGGGCAATAAAGATCAATTCTCACATAAAAAAGAGAAAAATGTAACTTATATCGCTTTTTCGCTACTCTTAAAATCAACTATATACCCGAAAATATTGATTGACTTGTAAGATTTGTGTATATTTTGTTAAGGAGACAAATATTCACCTATTTTCCTTAACAAGGACATTGCTAGATTAGGTGTTCAGATAGTTTACCTACCTATACTTTTCTTGATTCTGTTATAAGGAAAGTCCTATTAAGCAGTCCAACAGGAAAGAAACGAAACTTACCTGCAAAGAAAGAATTAAAATGCAAATTTCATGACAAACCGCTTCAGGCTGAACGACTTCAAAGAACTGACTCGACCAGCTTGTCACTCAATGTGGTATAAACAATGAACAGTTGTCTCAGAGGTAAGTAGAAAGACCAATTTAGAGGTCTATGCAGCCAATGATCTCTTCAGGGTAATGGAGTGAGTTTTTGAGTGATGTTTGAATGACGTATATTCCTTAAAATTCAACAAATTCAAATGTCTTTCTTTTATTTGTTCATAACAATAGATGAGAAACTCACAAATTTAAATATGAAAACTTGCCAGTTTGAAGTCGCCCACAAAAAAAAAGTTGCTCACGAAACTCATAAAAAATTAAGGTTCTTACACAGTATATTTGCTCGAGCTTTGATTGTACTACTGTTGTGTAGGATGGGTATTTGCTGAATAGACCGCTTACATCAAATATAACCGGACCAACGATAACGATAAGTTTATACCAAAATTACTGTAAAACATTTCTCTAGTAATATATAAGTGCGTTGTTTTTTTTGGCATACAAAGTTACAAACGATTTATTAACGCAGAATTCTTAAAAGTAATCGTAGCTTGCCCTTCACTGGTCATTGAAATCGATGTTTATTAAAAAAGGCAAACTGTTTGGAAATATTCCTTTCAGTATCTAACTCCATGTCCAATGTTCAATGATTTACAGTTAAATCTAACTTTCTAACCATCAGACTTGACAAGCAGGAAAATATTTACTCATTTATAGAAGACATTTTTCAGTGCTTACTTAAAGGGATAGCAGAAATATTTTTCAGCAAGAAAACAAATTTCGCGTCGATGAAGAGTTAACAGTAAAAGCGTTAGTTGAACCTCATCAGTCAGTTTAATAAAAACCTTTGGCATTTTTGTATATTTTTTGGTAATCTTGATTGAAACATTTTCTATGTGTTTTTAACGATAGGTTCCTGAAGGCTTTGATAAAAAATATAAATATCCAAATGCAAAGCCGTTGCGAAGAAAAAAACATTTGTATGCTCTGCAAAATTCTGGGACAAACAAGTATCATGTCTACCTACCAATATTTTACTTGATCGGTGAATAAGGGATAATAAGGCGGTTAGGCTCCTTTGCCAAATGGACAAAGTATATGGGAACGCTAAATGAATTAAATATGCATGGTAAATTCGTTTGTAGAAAACCTGGGAAAAGCCACGGGACTCCAAAAAGCTCAACTGAACAAGCGTGGGCATATGGTGAATTAATAATTATCTAAGAGATTATAAAGACATCATAGTAGCCACTGAAAGATCCATAAAAAGAAAGTTCTTTGATTGATATTAAAATCACTTGTTTTACAGCTGCAATCTTCCTTGAAATAACTTCTACCATCATTGGCTGATTAGTTATCACGTGGTCTTATTCCCTCACGGGTTATTGTCAGATTTTAAAAACTTGAACTGTATACAGTGTATGGGCCACTGGAAGTTAAAAATCGCCACAAATGAGAGAACGAATATATATAGGTTTCGTTTTACTGGAGAAAGAGGTTTGATTATTCAGGACACAGGACGAATAATATTGCTGATAAAAATTGTGAAGAAAAAGTCGAGTATCGTCCTGTAAAAGTAACTTTTTCTAAATTACTTTTTTGGTCGCTACTTTCGGGGACTTGGAAAAGAAAGTGAAATTTCTCAGTCTGTGTGCAGTTTTCATCCTGGAAACGAATTTATCTTTTTTTTGTTTATTTGTAATTATGTTAAGTCCTGAATGTTCGGGGGAAAGTGAGAAAACATCGGAACGTTTTCACCAACAAAACTGCCCTCGGTAACAGAAAGTGGCTCTAATATATGTAATCGATACTCATTTTGGTTTCCTTGCCACTAGAAAAGTAATTTAAGAAAAATAAAGATAAATAAATAATGATAATAGTTATAAAAATAATAAGATTAAGACTTTAAAAAGACTAAAAGACTAACTAAAGGCAAAAAGATTAAGACATGTTTCATGTCTACTTTTAATACCATTCCTGAATTTGAATATGAGCACTTGTCAGCGTTAATTTTCCACTACTTTTTCAAAAGTTTGTCTTGAAACTCATGAAACACATTATTAAGGTTTAGAAAGGCTATTTACTAGCCCTACCACATTAATTAATTGGATAATATCTTAAGCTATTTCACGATAATAAAAGGTTTTACCTACTTTGGGTAAAAATAGAAAATTATAACATGAGTGTTAAATACACATTTACACATTCTTTGCTCTTACGGTTTACGGGATCTAGAATTGGTATTTTTTCAGGAAAGAAGATTTTAGATTTATAATTTTGGCTAACATTTGAAGTCTAGTTCGATTGGTCAAACAAGAAAAGGAACCAAATGAAGTAATGAAAAGATAAAAAAAGTTTGGCTTTTTCATGACGTTGTGAAAGGAAAAGGTTTGTTCTAAGATTTGTATCAGTCCAATTAACTTTTATAAATCTGTTAACGTCTTGAATTTAAGTGTTTTCTAATGCTCACAACAATAATTATACTGTACAAAATTAAACTATCTAAAATCCAGCTTTTTTTTTGCTTAAACAAGCAGAACAAGCAACTGAACTTAAATTTGATGAGGCAATTCTTATTTGCTCATGTACACGAAACAAAATCCCAAAATTTAACTGCTGAAAAACGAGCGCAATTTTTTGAGGCATTTGGAAAGTTTCATTGTTTTGTTTTTGCTCAACAAAGGCGTCCGGGCGCTTATTTCATTCCAGCTGGCGACACCTCAATGCGCGCTCGTATTAAAAAAAAAAAGATCACGGGGAATATTCCTGTACTGCATGAAAATGGAGAAATAATATTTAGTACTTCAGCAGCTGATAATGTCCTGTTGAGATACTCCAGTCTGTTCATTTGTTATTTCTCCAGTTTAAAGCCATTCTTGTTATTGGTTTACCTTTTTCTTCGCAACATGAATTCAAAATTTCGACTGAGATGTCACTAATGCTCAATCATGCCAAGTTGAACACCCGAGCAACACTAGCGAAAGTAGGTAAAAAATGCAAACCTTTCCGAAAAGAAATAACAAACTTGATGGAAAAAATCTTTCCTGGGTGCTGATTACTCACCTAAGAGGTGACAATCTTCCCCTCTGTTGACGCAAAACTATTGAATACAAAGTCAATATGGTTCTTCTAATTTTAAAACCCTCTTTTTTGTGTAGATGCCGTTTGTGAGGCCAATCGTGGAAAATTGGTCAAATTTTTTTTTATGGCAAACTATTTGCAAGTAAAATGAGTTCATGAAGCGTCATTGTAAGCTCAGTGACAAGAACGGGAAAGTTTTAAGTTCTTTAGCAAGCCATTAATCTACGCTTTCTAGAAAAACAGGAATCAAGCGGTAAACTAAAAAAGGCTTCTGGCTGCGATTACAGGTCCGGATTTGTTTTTTTGTTTTTAAAAGAACGTAATCTGTTTTCATTCTGTTGTTATTGTTCGATTCGTGACTTAATAAATGCAAGCGTAACTTTCTTTTACGTCTTATTGCAGCATCAACGAGAAGCTCCAAGGAAAAAGCTGCTGGCATATAACTAAGTGGAAGACTAAGTTTCCGAGCTTTCTTCACTGTCAAGGCTGCGATCTCTTTTGTAAGTTTTGAATTATTCTTATTTTGAAGCATTGTTGATCGATCATTCTAAACTTTTTGATCATATTGTGTGCTCCTATAAACTCGTAAGTGATAAAGAACATAATGCTTAATATATAGTGATAGTAGCAAATCAGTATGGCGATCTATCTGTCTATCTATTGATATAAATAAGAAAGCGCTTTTCGCGTTTTAAGCGGCACAATCAACTATCTACAGAAAAATTTGCATTGAAGATTTGGTACTTTCAACATTAATCATCAACGACGGTAGTGAGGCTGGATTAAAAGACTTAGGTCGATCGGTTAAGAGGAATTATCATGCATATATAATATAAGCCACTTATGTCGAGGAAAGCGAAATGTGAAATCGTTTGAAAATTTGCGCTAAACTCCTTTCTAGCTTATCCTTTTCTTAAGTGTAGTCATCTCCAGTGTTTTATGCATAGTCACCGAGCTGAGAAAAGCAATGATAGGCATTTTAATAAAGCGAGTATTTTCATCACTTTGATCAAGTTCAGAAAACATATTACAAGTGTTTCAAAGAACGCCTTGGAACTTGTCTCATGTTGAGGTAGTTTGCTTGCATTTCACTTTGTAAGTTAACAATGTTCGAGTAATGACGGATAAATACAAAAGCGGCGGCAGAATCGGTACAAAATCCTCAACAAAGCAGCAGAATTAAGATGATACTTCTATAATGCCATTTACGCCAATACAATTTGAGAGCTTTGAGTGCTGGATATTTTGCATTTAAGACTACACAATCTTGTAGGTTTTGTAGGGTAAAATGCGGTAAAATGTATGAATATAATAAGCCGAAGCGAAAAGAGCAATCGACGTGACTTTGGTTATCTAGATTTGTTCAAATTTAATTAAAATTTGCATAGCACGAAAACTGGTTTTCATTTAACTAGCAGCTATTTTAGTAGACTAACGTGTGGTCATTGCCATACTTGAAGTGACAGGGCCATTTCAGCAGCAGCGATCGTATGGAGGACGAATAGTTCGATCGACTCTGTCAGGACCTGTCAGAGCTGCGTACCGGACCGTACTCACGCCAATGATCAAACAATACGGCCCCGAGACAGACTTTTCAGTTCTATCTTAAGACAAATCTGCGGCTATCTCTTCAGTGATCGAACGATAATGGAAACAGTCTTTGCCTGAAAAGTTTATTGTATTAGTAGTACAGTAAAGAAAAACGTTGTTTTAAAATTATTGTACAGTGCCTTCGGTTTGATTCGATCATTGTTTTATTTCGGTCGCCTATACATTATTGGCGGGCAGTCTTATGGATCGACTACTGGCCTGTCTCGAAACAAAAGATAAAATGAACCATTTTCAACTTTTTTTCCCCATTCTTTAGAGAACAGAAGTAATTTCAGGGTGTCTTTTAGTCAGTTTCCACTGTGCCGATTCGTTCAGTCCATGATGTTTTATGGCAATCGGGCCATCTATGCGGAACAAGTCGACCCAACAATAGATTCGCATAAACAGCTTTTATAAACATCCTTCATGCGAGATACACAGGCAACCATTGTAGCTCGGTTGGTTGTGATATCTGTTTGATTTGTGACTTGAGCAAGTTTCTTTCTTATAAGTACATACTAACACTGATATTTGACGATGAACAATGTGGTATAGCCATATCCAGACAGTGCAGGCTAGTTCAGTCATACGGCTACATTGTACTTAATTATAATTGGATTCATGTGGAAACATATCGGAAGACCATGATGCTGTCCCTCACACCCCCCCTCCCCCCAGCCCCCACAAGAGTTAAGAAAGCTCAAGAATATGCTCCTTCTGTCACTTGAAACAAGAATAAAGGCATCTGGAGTTCCTATTTTGATTCCTCTACCCTGTTTGAAAAACTACGCACAAAAAGAAATAAACGCAGACATCGATTTCAATAACTTAGATAAAATGTAGTCTAAATTCTCTCTGATTAAAACTTGTAGCTTCATATGGCATATCACAGAGCTTTACCAGCCAAATGAAGCGAATTGTGACACACGCTTTCCCAAGCCCCTTTTTATCTTTGACAGAACAATTTTTAGTCGGAGCCGGGAAACAATCTAAACAAAACCCGACAGAGAGCATAGAATGCAGCGTTCTTTTATCACCTATTCTCTTCTTTGCATTGCAGAAAACACACCTCGCCCGTCCCCACCACCTCCCCTCCACCCCCCAAAAAAATTTGCATGAGAACAACTTTCTCAGCTATTTTGTCATTTTTCCTTTACTTTTTAAATTAATAATCTTAAGTCCTTTGTTATACATAACTTTAAGGGGCACAATATTAGTTTATCTAGATGTGCCCCTCTCCTCTCCTTCCTATATGTATGGATAATAGCATGATTTATAGTGATATTTCGCATGAATACCACGAGTGATATTTCGAAATTGTTATACGTAATTTCACGAGCCGTCAGGCGAGTGAAATTTCAAGACAATTTTGAAATGTTACGAGTGGTATTTATGCCAAATATCACATACAAATCATGCTATTATTTGTTATACTACTACCCGCAAAAGGTTTGTAATTTTCACATGTAGGTATTTCAAATTAAGCTGAAATACCACTGCTCTAAGCCAATAAAATTGCAGTAATTTTTCATGTAGTGGTATAAACAATGTAATTCAATTTAATTGTTGTAATTTCTATTTTACGCGTTTATTTCCTTTGTAAATCTTTATCTGTTACTATATTATTTTTTTCAGTTATATTTACATAACTATGTATCAGCTAGGAATTGGAGGAATAAATAAAATGAAAAAATGAAAAAAAACTTTGTGAAGGCGCCGATGTTACTCGAAACGATTCGCAACGATGATTTTCACCGCATGACAGCGCTGTAACAATTTTGCGGCATTGTTTACAATTGTTTCACAATTGTTCTAACACTGTTGGCTTAAATTATTAATGCAAAATGCCTCTTGTAACAACGGCTTAATCCAGGAGAAAGTGGATGTTTATGAAAAGTTTGGGAGGCGGAGGGGGGAGGGGTGGGGGAGGAAAAAATCAGCAACTTTATTGGATAAGGGTGAGTATGATATGAAGAATTATAGAGATCGAGGAGGGTGTTATCCTCCTGGAGGCTCTGAGATATGCATAATTCTTTCGATAATGAAAAGCCGAATCCAATAGTCTTAACAAGCAATGGTTTAGTTATACAGAAACAAGTAAAAAAACAGTGCGGACAAGAAAGATTGACGTTTCGGTATCATATTGACAGTTATCATCAAATATTTTGAACTTGAAAATGCAAGATTACACCGAAACGTCGTTCTTTCTTGTACGCGTTGTTTTTTACTTGTTTCTGAATCCAATAATTGTTTTATTATTCATTCAAAATAATTCCAAGTTTATATTAAAAACAAGCTAAACTGACATGCTTACCTTAATCGATGTTAAATTCCCGTCTTCATTTGCCTGTTTCTCGGCAAGGCCGTTCAGGATATAAAGCCTAGCAGAGTATTCTATTTTAGGCAGAAGTTCGGTTATTTCTTCTTCGCGAACGGAAACGTGTGAAAAAACAACGAAATCTTGTTCCCAGGGCCTCTCGGCGATTATTTTGTGCTTTTGACGTCATTTTCCGGATATCTGATTGTTTCCCGCCTCCGATTTAAAGATTGCTTCTGTCGAGGATATGAAAAGGTGAATTAGAAAGCCGTGTGTCACAATTAACTTCATTTTGCTGATGAAGCTCTTTGTTAATAATTTAATGTATTCGATTAGACCGAAGAAAATCTTACGATGCTTTTGCGACTTTTACAACTGGGGTCAAGTAAACTGCTTTGAGCCTTGGCGAAAAAAAGCTTGTTGCGTGCGAGCTGTTACGCAGTTAGCGGAAAGCAGCTTTAAGCTGATAAAGAGACAAACAAGAGAGACTACTAATTTATGTGGCGAAATAATGAGCAGTAAATGACGAGTAAAGGGGAAACTTGGTCACGTGGTTCAAATTCGCGTTTGCCGTTTTACTTGAACGTGATGCTTAACCTCTCTTATATGTTATTTTTGGCTGGTTTATTTTTCCCTAAAACGTAATTTAGACAGGAATGTTTGCTACGCGGCCTAAGGCACAAGATAGTGTATTTGTAGCCTGTGAAGATATGAGCATATAAAGGGTTTCCATCTAAATCGATCGTTTTGTACTCTTTGTCCATTCTCTGCCAACACGGCCATAATAACAATGACTGTTACAACATATCTTATGGGCTGTTTGTAAGGAGGGAGGAACATCCTAGAAGGCGGATCATCCTAGTACCATATGTTTTCTGCATTCAGTTTAAATGCAAAAAGTTGTGTTTTTCCCTAGTGCTAGGATCTCCCTAGTATTAGATCTTTCTAGCCCAGGGAAAGGAAGCACCATGTAAACTGCTTTCGCTATGAAAATCCTAGTAATAGGGACAAATCACTGAAAAATGGCGGCGCGTCGTTCAGTGAGTAATCTTTGAGCTTTTAACTACACGGACCGAAATTTCTGCATGTAGACCCAAAGAAAAGTTGTTTCGCCTTCTAAGGTCTCTCTAGTGCTTGCATCTGCTTCCCCCCTTGAAAAGAAGGCCCCAGTGTGGTTACTGAGGTTAAACAATCTGTAAACACTTAAGGAGACAGGTCTTGAATGAGTTTTGTTGATTTTTATTTTGCGGACAAAAGGGATAAAAAAAGTAATAACTAAACCATGAGATTTAAGTGGTAATTGAGATTACAGAAAGTCTGCAGTGAGCTAAAAATGTCTCGCTGAAATATTGGTTGATACAGGGTGGCCACCTAATACGGGGTTTACTTTTACAGTTTCACTGTTAGAAACCCTCTGTAATAAGACATAAACTGAATATAAAGGTAAGGATAAATTTCCATTCTGTTTCAGGTGACCAGCAAAATGTCAAGTGGACCGATTGAACCAATCACCGAGCAAGAAAACCGGGCCTGGTGTATCGTCTTTGGCTTTGAATCAGCGGCCTGCATAGTGGGCAACATTCTGACCATTGCTGCTTTTGCCATCACAAAGTCCTTGCACAAGAAAACCTATCTCCTATTGATCAGCTTAGCAGTAGCTGATCTCTTGGTGGGTTTTGTTGCCATTCCCATGTTCATTCATCTAATAGGCGGCACGGTTACACAGTGGTGGGAAGTGGATAATCACGTGAGTCACACGCAGACAGCCATCGAGATCTTCACTTCGTACGCTTCTATCTTCTTTCTGGTGGCGATCGCTCTTGAGCGGCTGTACGCTGCGGTATCGCCATTTAATCACGATACTCTCAAGCCTGTTGCTTATTTCATTGTAATCACTGTAGTGTGGCTTTTCGCTGCGCTGTTAGCAATTCTCTCTTATTTGCGTGAACAGCATGTTGATGCTGCCGACAACGAGGGAGTGTTTTTGTTTATTATGATAATGCTCGCACTTTCCATTGTAACTGTTGTTGTATCCTACATTCTAATTGCAATAATTTTGATGAGATCTCGCTCCAAATTGACCGACGACTTTGAGCATAGAATGGCTGTCACCCTCCTTCTCTTGAGCGTTATTTTCGTAGCCACATGGTTGCCATTTAAAGTAGTTAACTACATTTTTCATTACGACCGCTCTGCAACTCTTGGCTGTGGAAACGACGTCGGTTGCCTCTACCAGGCAATTTACGCCACAAAGTTTCTGCATTATTTCAACTCAGTCGTTAACCCCATCATTTATGCTCTGAGGGTTAAAGATTTTAGGAAGAGTGTCAAACGAATTCTGTGCTGTGCTGATCCCACACCACCACAGAACCGAGCCCTTGGAGAAATAAAAGGGATAGATAACACCATGGTATCCATGCAGTCCATCGATACCGTTGTTCCCTCTATGTATCTGTAAATATATACAGCTAAATCTTTAACGTACAGTGAAGTACAGATGTATAAAAATTCAGTAGTTTTAGAAAAAGAAGTTTTAGAAAGAGTTTTATGCACGAGTAATGAGAGCTTTAAGGAATACCGTGTAGCACGAAATTTTTGCGGGTTCTACTGGTTCTACATCAGTGTGCGATATTTCCAGCGATTTGTCAAGCGATCCGCAAAAATAAGTTCTCGCAATTAAAAATTACCGCAAACATTTTTCCCGCAAAAATTCACTCCAGAGTAAATATTCCCTAACTTAAATTTGCTACACAAAAATACAGTACTAAGAAGTCATGTCTATTCAATTACAACTTGTCTCTGTCCGTTCAGAAACAAAACGGTATACAATGAAATACCGGTTTTACTTAGGGTTCGCACACCGTAGTATTGTTTGAAAATATGTGTATCTCTATTGCACGTTCTCAATAAAAACGAAACTGATATTGTCAATGCTGGGTACTGGGTACTTTTTGAAAACCGCAAAAACTAATTCCCACTGAAGAAAGACCAATCTGTCCTAATCGCAAAAATTAGTTCTCTCAAAACACAAAAAGTCGCCAATCCGCTTAAATAAACTCCCGCAAAAATTTTGTGCCACACGATATATTGGATTATACAAGTACTAGTACTTTTAAAACAGTTAGACTCTATTTTACTTTGATGTATTAATAGAATTAACTCATTTATTCAAAAGCGATACCTTTTTATAGCTCAGTACTAGAACAATATCAGTCTGTAGTATCTGGATGTAATATTGCATGCACCGCGTACAGGTCCTTACAAGTTAAATTCATTTTCTGATGACTTTATTTTAATCAGCTACGTAAGGCAACTCGTAAAGCATTAAATTTTACACTTTGTTGATATGCACTCTTAACGGCAATTCGAGCTTTTGCTTTCAACTGTGGACTTGATCTTGTTAAGACTGTTTTGGTACTTTATATATCTTTGTAAATGGTAATGCGTAATTTTTTAATCAGAGTACAGCTTACCCAGTATTGTATTTCGCTTTTTTTAGGATATCAATCGTGCCTTGTTTTAACTGTTTACTTAATTTCTCCAGCGTAAATAGTGATTAGTTTGAAATAAAAATGATCCCATGTATCATGTAAATTGTTATAATCTTTATTTGCAAGTTGACAATTCCCCTGATTCATGATGATTATAATCCGTGATTTCAGGTGGGGGGTGGGGGTGCAGGTGGGAGGTGGGGGTGGGGGATTGTAGAAACGAGCAGATAAATATCTATCTAATTATTATAATTGTTCTTTATTATGTTTGGTTAAATTATCTATTTGCTTATGTATGATTGTAAGTGTCAGGTGGGGGTGGCGGTGGGGGGGGAGGGGGGGGGGGGGGGGGGGTGGGGGGGGGGGGGGGGGGGGAGGGTGGGTCAGGAAACAAATTACATCTTCCCGCCTTCAATGAGGGAACCATATAAACAGGTAAATGGAGCCAGTTTGATTGGTGCAATATAGCACTAACTGATAATTAAAAGAGCCTTTTCTTTCTTGTTTTCACGGCAACCCCTTGAGGACAGGCATTGTCTCTTAGGGACCAGTCATAATTTAAGTTGGAAGGGGGGGTGGAGGAGAAATTGTTTTTTATCCCAAATTATTTCCAGACCTAAAAAACATGGGTGCTATTAGTAGGGGTACCCCCCCTTCAATCATGTTAAAAGATTTAAGGGCCCCCCTTTCTTACATAATACCCAAATGGTAATAACGAATAACATTTACTTTACTCTACCGTTCTTACTCACTAACAACACAGAAGCACTTCACACTAAACTGAGAGAGAGATTTCACCTAGAGCCTCTCAAACAGCTTAAAGAGCAAGGATATATTAGTGATTGTGTTATAATTGAGATAAGACAAGCCATCGAAAGCTTAGAGGCCGACAGGATCGCTTCAAGGAAGAAAGAAGATAATCAGCCAAAGCTCACTGCTTTTTATATGAGCAGTACATGCTCTAACAGCAAAAAACTCGACAGTGACACAGACAGTGAGTCCACATCAACCTCATCTCCAAATAATGATTCGGATAGTGAGATTGCATAACATGACTTTATGCATGTAATCATTTGTTAAAAGGCCGATGAAATTGTTTCAGTGTTACACAATAATGGATGTTGTGTTGATGCACCTACTATTTGATTTATTTACTTAATCAAAATGCTGATTAAATTGTTTTAGTATTACACAAAATAGGACTTTGCGTAAAACTGAATAAAAAAATCAAGTCCTTTATTACTCAAGCATCATGCTGCTCAGTAGGGATGCTACTTAAAAGAAACTTGAAGAACCCCCCAAGGTCATCTTTTGGCATTTTAACGCCCCCCATATTCCATCCAAAAAAAATTGAAGGTCCCCCAATTTCTCCTCCACCGCCCCTCCCTCCAACTTCAATTTTGACTCGTCCCTTATCTATCTTAGGCGGATCCCCTTTGACTCGCCCCAACTCCTCGATTTTTTGGAATTCGATTGGAATTCAACATGGTGGTTATGCATGCAGAAATATTAACGCACCTAAAATGCAGTGCAGGTTACTGGTCTCACGCCGGCAAACGATCGTAAACCGGGTATTTTCATATTTTCGCCATAGACTTGCAAAAGACAACGCACCAAGAGGAAAAGTCAAGTTTACTTTATTCATCTTTATTACCTTATTTGATGCAAAATTTCGCGTAACATCACACTGGCTCTCGAACAACTCGGATGGTCGGTCTGAGGAGATACGTAAGAGATCTATACCACCGGGGAAAAACCATGGATTTACCTTTTGCTTTATCTGAAAATTGTGAAGAAACCTTTGAGTTGGCACAGTTAACAGGAAACTCAATATCCTTCAACATCGCTCAAATTATCCCTTATGAGGCAAAAGATAACAGTATGCCATAAGACTAAACAACGTTAATCACCTGTCTATTCTCTATTTTCCAATTGCCCATAATACACTCTGTTTGCCCCCCAAATTCTGCATAAACCATTGTTTTTAAATGCTCCTGGGAGTATTGCATTTTCCCAAGAGCATTTTAAGACAATAAGTTATGCAAAATTTGGGGGGCAAACAGAGTGTATTATGGGCAATTGGAAAATAGTCAATTGACCACTGGGAGGCGTGTGTGGCCGAGCGATTAAAACCTCGTACTGTCCAGCGGGGTTCAAGCCTCGCTCGTGGCGTTGTTTCTTTAGACAAGGAACTTTACTCCACTTTGTCTCTCTTCACCCAGGACGTCTAGATGGGTACCCTACATCCCGTTCAGGGGGTAGTAGCAATACTCCTAGACATGCTTCATGCTAATGAAACAGGGATTATGAGTTCTGGCGGCCGTTTGGGCCTTTGGCTCAGGTGCGCCTTATTAGCTTATTAGCTGCTATTTCTCTATCAGTGTGAATTGGCATATTCCACAGAATCGTTGTCTCTTCGTTTTTACAACAGTTTCTGGTTTGTCTTCGCACAATTTGTCAGCGCTCGTGATTTTATAGATCTGGCAGACCTTCCAATGTATATGTAATGCTGCGTTATCGTGCCTTTGAATGTATTCAGTCTTGGGAAGTTCTGGACTGCCAGAAAACATGTGATCTACAGATTCATCGAACTTTCCACACTTTCTCCATACTGCGCTGATGCCATCTTTGATTATGCTGTTATGGTACTATTATTATTATTATTATTAATGGTATTATTTGTTTACTTTAGGACGATGACTGATTTACGAGAATCTAACAATAACAACCCCCACTGCACTTTTAAACATTGGCTCCCTCTATCTAATGCTCGAAAAAAGATTGTGTAGGTCCTTTGTGTTAGCTACTACTTTTCATGGACACCAGCCGAATGTTGCCCTTTGGAATGTCTTTTACAACACACCCACAAAGAATTTTTTTCATTTCTCTTCGAAAGTCGGGCATTCTAAGATTATAGACGATGGGGTTCAAAAGTGAGTTTGCGTACTGAACAAGTCGAGTTATAACTATTATGCTGTTTGAGATCTGCACATTGGAAAGAAGATGAAAAAGGATAAAAATGATTTTGAATGGTAGCCACGATATAAGGGATAAAACCGTAGCTATGAATAGCGTTTTCACCAGATTTTTGTTCATCTCTGTGGCTGACGTGCGAGGCTTGAAAACTCTCTTTTTGAATTTGATCCAAATTGACGCGTATGATGCGAACGTGATAAGTAAAGCCAACCCAATAAATGCTGATATAACAATTATGGGGATCTGTTTGTTGAATATGATGTGAAAAGGAAGCAAATTAATGGCAGAAAGGAAGCCAGATAAAAACCACACCGACAGTACACTTGTGATGTAATAATGTGTTGGCATGGAAACGTGGCGAAGAGGTCTTAAAACGGCGTGTGCCTTTTCCAAGGAAATCGCGGCAAGAAAGAAGATCGAACATGGCGTCGCAAAGACGTCAAATGCAACAACAAATTCGTAATAAACATCTCCCTTGATGAAATGCCAAGGTAAAATGTCTTCTAACATTGTGAAAATAAGCACAAATCCCACCAACAAATCAGCAGTGGTTAAGTTGATTAGAAGGATAGTTGATCGTCTTAGGAAAAACCTCCGACGCCAAAAAACCACAATACTTGTCGCGTTAACAAAGATAATGAGAATTCCTAATAGGAGGAAAACTACTATTTCTTTTACATCTTTCTCCTCGCCGTAGACGTCATTGGGGAAAGTCACTATGGTCTTGTTCTTTGTGTTTTCTACTGAAGCGGTCGAGAAAATCTCCATTGAACTCGTAGAACAGTTTTCTTATCTAAACCAATCAAGTTTGAATGCTTCGATATCAATTTTTTTGATCATTTACATCAGCTTCTCTTAATAAACAGACATGGCATTAGCCCAACAAATGAAAAGGCTGATAAGGCGGGAGGGATTTTGTCTGAGAAGGCAAAACCTTTGTCCGCTTGACCTGGAAAATATTTTTAAAGAGATTCTTTGGTGTCAACTTTCGTTCAAATTGTTTTCAAATCATCCTCTTCATAACAAGAAAACAGTATGAAAGAAAGTTGCGTTTTTCTTTATCCGTAAACAGGTGCAAGTGACGAAACATTTGTTCAACTATTCAAACATTCTGTGTTAACAATATCCTAAAGCAACACCTATTTAACTCTTTATCGCTTAAATAACTAAAATGTCAAAATGGCAATTTCTACTAAATATCTCATCTAAAGGGACTACGATATTTATCGATCCTCATTTCAGTTAGCGGTTAATTAGTTTTCATTCCTGTGTGATCCTTAAAGGCTGAACATTATAGTCACGTCCACATTAGGAAGGTCTGATCATAGATCAGGAGAACTGTCCATGTTTTTGAGAGGTTGTCAAGCCTTATCCCATAAGGTCTACTATCCATTAAACTTGAAATGAGTCAGAAGAGACGCGTTTTTATTTGCTCCTCTGTTCAACTTCCACAAATCACTTGGCAGCTGTAGGTCGCCTCGTTCTAATTATTCACGTCTGAAAGAAGATGAGACACCAACTGTACCCGGACTAATATCAGGTTAAAGGAAAAGAAGTTTCAGCTAAGTTTCGCTAGTACTAAGCCGTGTTTCAGGTTGTTTGCACGACAATTGCCTTCTTTCTCATTTGATATGCAATCGGTTTTCGCCCGACACCCCCTTTTTTGTCCCTTTTTTTTTCAAAATCAAAAAGATAAACAAATGCATGAGATGTACAGATTCGAACATTATTTTACCATCTGTGAAATACAACGTGAAAAATATAACTAAGCTTTTATCTACTTAGCATGTTAATAAATACATAAAATCTACAGTACCTGTGGACTAAAAATAAAGCTAAGTAAGCCTATAATAGCCTGAATTTCGGACATATCTTCGAGTCGCTTACTCTCTCAGAGACTCGAAAGTATGTAAGATCAAGTTCAGGCTAAGCCTATAACTGCTCAAACTTCAAAGGCTGGAAAATTTGCACGAGAACTGAGATGAACCGAAGCTCACTATACTTGTTACAAGAACTGGTATCGCGTCATGTCGGTGTTAAAAAACTTTAAAAGCTGAAAAACGGCTAGCACTGGACTGAACAAGGCTTAATTAGATCCTTCTAAATTGACGGCTTTATTCAGCCCATTTGATAAAACCAAGTTTTTTGTGATTCATTCTCCCGCAGAATTGAGGCAGAATCAAAGTTTCTTGATCATTTTAACTGTTAACTATACTACACTGATGAATGTAAATTAGTTCCTTTCCAGCTCTCGTTCGTTAATGCCAATGGAAAATATTTACACTTTCTGTCACTACCATCTTCGACTTAGTCCTTGAAATCCGAATACCTTAGCTCTCTTCGCCATTTGCCTACAGGTGACTAAATATCGCTTAGCAATCGCTTTCTGACGGTTACAGTGACGCTTTGTCTTTCTGCCTGTTTGGTAAACAATCAAAGTTTAGGACCATCTTATTCTATTTTATCATACACACTGTCTTTCTATCTGTTTTGCCCATCCATTGCCCCATGGGCAATGTAAGCAAATCCAAAACAGTTTTGGATTGTGGATTCCACGCTTTGGATTCCGGATTCCAGGTACTGGATTCTAGTTTTTGTCAGTGGAACTTGAATTCTGGATTCCAATCGTTAGTGGGATTGCAGATTCCTTGAGCTGTATTCCCTACCAAACGTTAAGCAGAATTTTGGGGAAAGGACCTTTCTTTTTACTGGTGAAAAATATTTTAACAAACTCCCTTTAAACATTGTGAAGAGTGAAACATTCAGACGATCTGCCGCCGAGCAAGACATTTCTTTTTATTAAAACTTTAATATTTTATTATATTTTAAGCTTTAAATGTAATTTTGTCGATTGCATTGTATTTTTGGGCTTTTTAACGTAGTTCTTAAATTCTATCATTGTATTTTTAATCTTAGGCTCTTTAAATGTATTAGTTTATAAAAATCCTTAATTTAAATTATTTTTTTAGGATACAGGGCCCCTATGAAGACCGGCCTTAGAGTTGAATGGGCTATACTGTGTGAATAAAGTTTTACTTTACTCGGAATCCCAAAGCCCAGGATTCCGCCAGATTCTTGTCACGTCTTTGATTCGAACGGACTACGTTTTCGGAATGGCGCATAAGTGCACATGCTCAAAGTGTATTGGCCGCTGGCCAAAAACACCACACCTCCTCCCCACTAGCTAGTGGATGCCATATGGTAACTAATAAGGATCTGAAACGTTAAGTCAAACACAACACGCCTATTGAAATGAGCACAGTCTCAATGTCACTTCAAAGTTCATAAATCCAGCCTAGATGTGGGCTTCCGCACTTCGACGGGATATCGTCTAACAGGAACAGGTTCAGGAACAGGCTCACTCAAATTTGGTGGACTGCTGGTTGCAGGGTCAGTCACTGGACTTGGTGGCCGAACATCAGTCCCCAAGTTGCTGGCTGCTGGCTGCTCACTGGCTACAGACACTGGGTCCTCACGACTCTCAACCTGGATTGGAAGTTCTGAGGTCTGGGTAACAGGGTTGCTGCTTGGTGGCACTGGAATTCTGGTATTTCTCAGTTGGTCTGTGTGTCGACGCCACACTAAGCCAGGTTTGACTTCTACTTTGTAAGAAAGGGGGCCAAATTGTGTTCGGATGATGCCAGGTATACCCACTTTGTACTACCAGTGTAATTTCGTGCTACCACTATCTGACCGATGGAGAATTCTCTGCTTACAGCACCAGCCTTCGTGACGGTTTGGTCTATCTAACGGTTGCTTATCTTCAAGGGGAGATCTGGTTTCAGCAAGTCCAATCGAGTGCGTAATCGTCTTCCCAAAAATAGCTGAGATGGCGCTTCTTCAGTGGCTGAATGGGGGTATTTCTGTAAGCTAGCAAGAACGTTGCCAGCTTAATGTTCAGAGGTTTTACTTCCGTTTCACTTTTCATGGCTGATTTAAAGCTCTACACACATCGTTCGGCTAGACCATTGCTGGCAGGATGGTATGGAGCAGATGTCAGATGTTTGATGCCATTTCTCTTGAGGAACATCTGAAACTCTTCAGATTTAAACTGTGGCCCATTGTCACTCACTAACTGGGATGGCACACCATATCTAGCAAATAAGCTCTGCAGTTTCTCGATGGTTTTGGTTGAGGTCGTGGTGTCCATTTTCTCTATTTCCAACCATCTAGAATGGGCATCCACGACAATCAAAAACATGCAGCCGAGGAAAGGTCCGGCAAAATCAATATGGATTCGTTGCCAGGGTGACAATGGCCATTCCCATGGATGTAGTGCGGTACTAGGTTCAGCCTGCACTAGCTGGCAACCCAAGCAATTCGTCGCGGTTTCCTCAATTTCCTTGTCGATCCCTGGCCACCAGATGTAGCTTGTTGCTAGGGCCTTCATCTTCACTACTCCAAGATGTCCTTGATGCAGTTCTTCAAGCACTTGTGGACGAAGTTTTGGGGGTACTATGACTCTGATTCCCTACATCAAACAGCCTGAGTGTACTGTTATGTCATCCCTGCGAGCGTAGAAGGGGTCCAGTACAGGAACATGGCTGCTTAGCCATCCTTTAGCCACAATCTCATGGACTTGACTCAAGACAGGGTCCCTCTGGGTTTCTCTTCGGACGTTGTCAACTGTGATTGGTAACGGCTCAAACTGCATACAATTGAAAACATTTACTGGATCCACAGCTTCTTCTGCTCTCTCTTCGGTTTTAAGCGGCAGCCGGGAAAGGCTATCTGCATTGCTATGCACTTTAGAGTTCTTGTACTCGATTTGATAGTCATATTCAGCCAAGAATAATACATAGCGCTGACGCCGGGCTGCCGTAACCACTGGAATGCTCTTGTGTGGATGGAAGATGGATGTTAACGGCTGATGATCGGTGTACAGGGTGAAAGATCGGCCAAACAAATATACATGGAACGTCTTGACTCCCCAGATTATTGCCAAAGCTTCTCTGTCAATTTGCGCGTACCCTTGCTCAGTTTTTGTGAGTGTCCTGGAAGCAAAAGCATGTAATGGGTCGCTCAGTCCCATCATTCATCACGTGGGATAGCACGGCACCGATTCTCACAGGGGATGCATCACAAGCAAGCCTCAGTGGCAGACTGGGATCATAGTGTGTTAATACTTGCTCTGAGGTCATCATTTCTTTCACGTTGTAGGATTCTGTTTCGCATTGTTCCGTCCATTGCCATTGATGGTTGTTCTCTAACAACTGGTTCAAAGGGTGTACCACTGTTGACAGATTGGGCAAGAATCTGTTAAGTTGTAGTAATTGACTAACCCCAGAAACGACCTCAGTTCAGCTACATTGCATGGGCAAGGCGCTTTCAAAACTGCTTCCACTCTCTCTGGTGACTTGTGGAGACTATGACTGTCAATATCATGTTCACAGAAGGTTATCTTCTCCTTGAAAAACTCACTCTTTGTCTTGTTTGCTCTTAACCCATGAGCCTGTAAGCGACGTAAAAGTTCTTCTAGGTTGGCAAGATGATGATCATCATCCTTTCTAGTGATGATCATATCATCAAGGATACAGCTTGTTCCAGACGTTCCCTCTAACACTTGATCAATGGTCTACTGCCAGATAGCTGGTGCAGAGGTGATGCCAAACACTAGTCGCTTGTACTAAAACAGTCCCATATGGGTGTTGATTGTGAGGTATTTCTTTGAATCTTCTTCCATCTCTATTTGGTGATATGCTTGGCGGAGGTCAATTTTGGGAATTTCTGCCCACCAGCAAGGTTTGCAAAGATGTCTTCAATGCGAGGAAGAGGGTACTGCTCTGCTTGTAGTTCTGGATTCACTGTGATCTTGTAATCACCACAAAGTCTGACAGAACCATCTCTCTTGGGGACAGGCACAATCGGTGTGGCCCATTCACATTATGTTAGTTTTAATAACGTTGAAAGCGTTATTTTTTCGTCCCACCTAAACATGATGAGATGTGTTTGTAATATGTTCATCAAAGCTAGGGATGGAGTCTACTTGTCTACTAAGTCCCAGGTCACGTGCAGAGGAGGCTATAGTAACTTGGTTAGTCCCTTATTTCAGGTGCTGCATGTCTTTCGAACGGACTTTAAACGAATGTCCGCTCTCTTTGGGATGTCTTTTATACAGCATCCACAAATTAAATTGATCATTTCTCTCCGAAAGTCGGGCATTCGGAGGTTGTAGACAATGGGGTTTAAAAGAGAGTTAAAATACTGAAAAAGTCGAACTATTAATAAAATGTTGGCTGTAATTTTTACATTGGGATAATAATAAAGAAGGATTAATATGACTTGCAATGGTAGCCAAGATATTAGTGATAAAATCGTCACCATAAAAAGTGTTTTCACCAGTTTTTGGTTCATTTCCGTGCGTCCTATGGAAGGGTTGAACATCCTTTTATTGAATTTGAACCAAATTGAAGCGTATGATATGAAGATAATAAGTAATGCTAACCCAATAGATGTAGATATAACTGCAATTGTGATTTGTTTGCTTAAGATCTCGTGAAGAGGAAGCAAATTAATCGCAGAAAGGAAGCCAGCCAAAAACTACACGGTGAGTACACCTGAGAAGTAATAGCACGTTGGTATAAATAAGTGGCGAAGAGGTCTTAGAACGGCGTGTTGCCTTTCCACGGAAATCGCGGCAAGAAATAAGATGGAGCTAAGCAAGGCAAAAGCATCAAAGCCAACGTTAATTTCTGAATAAACCTCTCTACTGATGAAGAACGACGGTAAAATGTCTTCCAACATTGTGAAAATGATCACAAATCCAACCAACAAATCAGCAGCGGTTAAGTTCATCAGAAGGATAGTTGATCGTTGTAGGAAAAACCTCCGATGCCAAAAAATCACAATACTTGTCGCGTTACCAAAGATAATGACAAGTCCCAGTGCAAAGAAAAAAACAGTTTTTGTCACGTTTACCTCCTCGCTGTCTATTTCATTCAACAAGATCAGGGAAACCTTGTTTGTTTTTTGCATCGAAGCGGACGAGGAATTCTCCATTTTATAGGTTAAAGGTTAAGTCAAGATGTCGCTCTAAGCATACAGTCTTCAAAACTGTTACAGTGAAATCAATACTTCAAACTGATATCTTTTCCGTTATTTATAATTTGTATATTTAGGTCTTTTGATGCCTTTCTAGTCTAAAATGCTGAGTAATGTTTACCCTTGACCAGCTGAACAAACAGGAAGCATGCTGACTTTGATTTTTCTTACTTATTCTTTATTCATTTTAATTTTTAGCATGAAATGCGTCAATTCTGATTATTTCTTTACGTATGATTTCGCTGGCTGCTCTAGGCCGTTTCAACAAATTGCTCAGGATTACTAAAAAAATTGGCAAAAGTCGCTTGATTTTTCCATTAATAGCATTTGTGTTTGAAAAGCGCGTTTTCTTCTTCTTCTTCCAGTTGATGGTCTGATACAAAATGTGAAAATTATAAAACAAAGGAAGATTCTAAATGAAGATAGGATCGTCGAAGTGGTAATTGCAATTTAAGCAATAGCAAATTAACCCCCCCCAAAATTTCGTGACTTCAGCGGGATTCTAACCCATGGCCTCAGGCTGCGTTAGCACACCCATACGTTGGGAGCAGGCCAAATTTTTGAGTTCATCTTAACCCGTGAAAGGAATGAAACATAGATTAAGAATGGTGATGTAAACTGCGGAATACAAATTTAAATGAAGATATGATCGTCGCAGGCCATGGGTTCGAATCCCGTTCAGAAGGTCAATTGGCAATTGAAGGTTAATTTGCAATTGCTTAAATATTTGCAATTACCATTGCGACGATCAAATCTTCATTTAAATTTGTATTTCCGCAGTTCACATCATCTTTCAAAGGAAGATTTGTATGGATTTCGGTGCAATTTTACGTTAGTCGCCCTCTTCTACTTTGCTCTCAATAACACGAACAAATGTGAGACGTGTTTAGAATATGCAGTAAGATTTCCAGCCATCACGCGAAACTTTTTCAGGCTGATTTTTGTTTAAAATTGAAAACCTTTTATTACATCAGTTTTATTAAAATGGTAATGTCTTCTCTTACAAGCTAGCGTTGCTCCAGTCGCTGTTGTTGCTACACCTCTAAATCACCTGTTTTGTGACTCACACGGGAAAGACACCTACCGGGATATACTGAGGCGCAGTCGAAGTCAGTCCCTTTATACATCTAATATAGTCTCATTTAGCTAGCCAGGGCTAAAGGCGAAGCTCTCGATAATATTTATAGTGCGTTCAAACAAACTATAAAATCATGTAATGCTAAGCGGCCGCGAAGGCAACGAGAACGGTGAAAAAACAACAATAGGTCTAATCAGTAAAAAAGCAGCTTTGCACATGCAGGGTACTTTTTTTGTACAATTCTTTGCCGTTGTTTTGCACGACTGCAACGTGAAACTCCCAGAAACTTCCTAGTTACACGTTTTACGGAGGAAATGTCGTAAGTTTTATTGTTCTTTTTTTTTCCACTGCCGCTCATTTTCACCTTGGTGGCCGCCTTTATTTCTCATTTTCTCACCGCTACAAATTGTTCAAAAGTATCTCTTTTGTTTTTATCTCTCGTTCTAGCTCTCTGTCGCTCTTTTTTCTCGTTGAGCTTCGTTGGCCTGACGTCTATTTTCTCTTTTTCTCTGTCTTTCTCTTTCTCCATTTTCTAAATTTTTGGACATGACAATTAATCTAAGCTTAACACTTTAGACAACACGGATACAGAAACAATTTCCGCTTTCCGTTTTCGTCTTTATTGACTCTTTAGTTGTCTGTACTTTACAAGACGTGGGTGGCTATGCGATTTCCGCCAAAATAACCTTGAGTTGCCTTTGGGTTGCCATACCTTATGCCTGTGGTGCGGACGGACGGGCGGACGTAAGGTCACGTGATTACCAAACTTAGTAAGGGAATTTTCACCAAAAAGAGAAAAATAAGGAACAAAAGTGCCGTGTTCTGGTTTGAGTTTTGTTCCAAACGTTTCGGACCTGGCCCTTCATCAATGGAGTTACAAAGTACGTCGGAAACGTTGCAATGTTTGCATACAACGTGAAAGAAAAAAACTTAGTGGCGCGCTGTACACGCGGCCTCGAGGAAACGTCAGATTTTAAGCCTCGCTGATGACTGGTGCCAAGCTGAAAAATAAGGCGAATCTCCAGGCGCTTCCGTCGGACGTTTTTCCTACAGAGCATAATTCCGCGAACTAGAGCGTCTTGGATCGAGTGACCAGCTTTGTTAAAATGTTCTGCGACAGGGACCATAAGTCCGGTCTGTCCGTCGGACGTTTTGGCTAACACCTTCAAAGCATAGAGAAGAACTTGCCTGGTTTCCCTGTCGCAGAACATTTTAACAAAGCTGGTCACTCGATCCACCGTACGCTCTAGTTCGCGAAATTATGTTCTGTCGGGAAAACGTGGGACGGAAGCGACTGGAGATGAGCCTTATTCCTCAGCTTGGCACCAGTCATATGCGCGGCTTCAACTCTGAATTCCGTTTCCTCTAGGCCGCGTGTAGAGCGCGCGCACTACAAACTTTCACGCATGACTCACAAATCCGGACAAATTGTTTTTTAATTAACACGTGATGACTTTTTTTCTTTTTTTGTTCTACAACTAGACTGCAAAAAAGTTGTGTAACCACATTGAGACAACAACTCAAACGCGGTGAATTCTAACACTGAAAACGGCTCTTGTTTTACTGACAAGTAGATAAGGTTGACGTAAAACTTGTGAGCCTATTATAGATTAGTCCTGAAAAACCAAAATCCATCGCTGAACAAGCGAGCGAAGTAATCCTGACCGCCGAGCTTACGATTATGCAACTTAAACTAACGACTTGGTCCCCTGACCCAAAAGGGCGCGAAAATTTACCCTACGGCGCTGGCCTGGGCTGGCTAGCAGCTACAAGTTGTTTTTTTGTTTCTTTCTCAAAATCGGTTTAGTGGTTTAGCGACTGTTCGCGCTTACTTGAATACGCAAAAGTACGGACTGTTTTGTGGTCTATAACGAAATCAAAGCACGCTAAAATTGCCATCTTTTAAGTAGCTTCGGAAGTCGCCGGCACGTTTCCGGAACTAGTTTCGGTCATGACAAGGTGAAATCTCACGCATTTGACCCACCAAAAGTTGGCAGGTATAATATTGAGACGTAGAGCCTGTGTACAGACCCCCACTCCCCTCAGGAAAAATCTGAGGGGAGGGGTAGGGGAAAGGTCTGCACACAGGCTTGGGAAGGGAGTGAGTTGTGGATATATCCCAGTTAAAATATTGCCAATAGCTTCTTGCTTAAAAAGGCTATCTCTATCCCTCCCACGGGTTAGGAGGAGTAGCTACACGCTCAAGCCTGTAAACAGTGCATCACGCAGTCGGCCGCCCAATAAACCCCCACTATATGGGGATCTTTTTTATTATTGGTTTCCTTTCATGGTCTATAGTCGGGGTATCTTTAAAGTCAGTACTGTATAGTCGTCTCCACTTTTAGGGACCAGACTCTTCATATTCTTATCATCTACTCGGGCATCTGTGGAAACGTTAGGTAGTTAGCATCGTACAACAAAAAATGAACCAGTACTAGACGAATTTGTAGACTAAAAACTGCTTGTTATCTCAGAATGGTTAAAACAAAGTCAAACAGGCTCTTTTGAAAAGTCGAAAGCTCATCTCTGGCGACGCTCACGACGCAACCAAAATGGCCACGTTACACCGAAAAAACCGCCAAAAATTGCCGCAAGGAATCATGGGAAGACAGCATCGTTCGAACTTTCCAGACTGGGTACCAGTGTTAGTTTTCTTCTCAGCGATCATGATGGTCTGCGGTATTTTGTAAACAAGATGGCGGAGGTTTCCATCGCATTTGTAGACCCTCTAAATTTATGAACATCACAACGATCTGATCCCTGGAGATAAGTAGAAATGTTGATCGGGAAGTCTTTTGTTTGCTATAGTAAAATTGATCGGGATCCTGTCTCCGTTTTGTTGGAAATAAAAGGAAAAGCCGAGACATTGTTATTCGAGAGTGGTGCGATCGCTGAACTGTGTAAGTAAATATGCAAGCTTATTAGGTTAACTTTCCAGCTGTTTCAAAAAGAATCTTAAGGATGGTTTTTTTATATGGTGTGAATTTCAGTATTTTAGTCTTTTTTATCTATGGCTTGTTCGTTTTCTTTTTCTTTCAAATAACGGCAGGAAACCTCGAAACAAATTTACAATTAGCCTTCGCGCAGACACTATATGCGACACATGGGCCGGCTGCACCCGCAGGCTAATTTACAATCCGCCTGTTCTTATTATTATTTTATTAAACCTATGTACTTTTGTTTTGGATGTAATATTTACATACTCTACATACTTTAAGCTCACAAGCTTCCCACGGGTGAATGAGAAAGAAAAAAGTACAGGGTATATGTGATGACCTTTATAAGGGGTAGTTGGCTATTTGAATAAGTGTTTTATTTTGTCAGTTTATTAAAGTATTATAATTAAAAGTCTTGAAAATATATTTAAAGTAAATCTTTGACCAATGTTGTCAAGTAAAAGAAACGAAGTGGTCAGACCAGAGGCTTTATCATGGTTTATGACACCATCTTCTTGTCTAGGAAAGAAAGTGTGAATCAATTATAGTGTTAGAGTCCAGTGTCCAATAATGTTTGTGGGAGGTCACTTCTAAAATAAATATAATGAATTGCAAAATTTAAGGGCCTACCCTGCTCCACAGTGGTTTTTAAATGGCCTTTCATTGGCTATGAAATTATCTGTACAATTTCCCTTCCCATGGGTGAAAATTTCGTAAGAAAAATTACAGACGAAAAATATAGAAAATCTGAAACAAGTTAATGGGCAAATTTCATCTTAGGTTTCTTAATGTGTCGGTAGAATCCTCTGCATTGTGGCATTTAAAGCTTACAATTTATAGGTTTTTCAGGATAGAGTTTTCATGAAAATTATTCTACATTGGATTCAAATACAAAACACTAAACTCTCACATGCTTGCCCACTGGTCAAGATGCTGTTGAGACCATGGTAAGATCTATCAATGAAACTTAGATATATTGTGTTTTTGTCCTAAAGCCATCACATTTCTGTCTATGATGTTCATTCTTGTGTATTGTTCGATGTGTGGAAAAAAAGAAACATCTGATACTCAATCTCTTTAATCCTTAAAATCTGAATATCAATGTACATATACTCCTCTCTCTTCTCTGTTCATTTGCTGTGGTGCTGGTGAGCAGAATTTGTTAAACAATTAAGACTTTCCTACTATTGAACATTTCCCTTATTCTCATATCCTTTATGTTTGATTAAACAATGATATCATAAGGAGTAATGAGATGGTGAACATACTTAAGAGTTGCAGGGATACCTTATTGGTACTTAATTTCGCAGGTCTTTAATTTTGCATTTTTCGTGATTGTAAAAAAATCACAAAATTAAAGATCCTTGAAAATAAACCCTTGTGAATTTAAAAGGACGCAAAATGTAATACCCATATAGAAAATTCAAATAACAATTGACATGTAATAGCAACGATATGTATCGACCAACACAAATTAATAATGCTTTCTGGTTTTACTGGTTAGCTCCATTTTGTATCTTCCATTGTGAAATGACGTTAGTTTGCCATGATTTCACACATTGCTTGGTCCAGTTGATCTAATTTTCTTAAAGGTTCAGACTTCTTAAAAAAAGAAAATGAAATTGCAAATGCTTAAATCGTCAAATTTAATGCCCTTTTTCATGTTTGCATGTACTTGTTAAGTACCTGCGAGTCAGTCACTGAAAAAACTGGCCATTGTCGAGAGGTTATTTTGGCAGTAGGGGACACGCTGTAGTGGCTGTTGCCATTGTAGAGAGGTTGCCATGATTGTAGAGAGGATTATACAAGGGTCAATGTATGGACTCTCCACTGGGACAAAAAAGAGTGGCCATTGTAGAGAGGTTGCCATTGTAAAGAGGTGGCCATAAGTAGAGGTTTGCCGTTAGTTTCTTGTGAGAACAAGGTGCAGGCCTGTTGACAATAGTTGTATAAAAGGACCTCTTTGATTTTTCGGATTGAGCTAAGTATGGTAAATGGAAAAGGTGGTCATTATATAAACATGTGTTTGATTGAGTTTAGGAGAGTCTTTTTTCTCCAGCTTTTCTGGATACAGACCTGCACAGTGGGGATGGAGAGGCATGAATGGAACTTATAGGTCTCAGTCAAGGTGCCCTTCGCTCCCTACCTAATCCCATAACTTGTTATGAATAGGCACTAATGATGGGGAGTGCTGGCCAGCAATTGTTACACTGCATAGCATGGTTCTTTTATGTCCCAAAGAAGTCAAACCACAGGGAAGTGTTGAGAAACTGGGTCTATGGTTTTCAATCCTTATGCAAAGACTAGTCAAGAAAGTTTGCAGATGTGAGAGCAAAGTCAGCTATTTTCCAGTTTATATTTAAAGACCCTAAATGTTGGTTACAGGCAGGAATTGAGCCCAGGCTAACCACTTTGAGATCTTGTACTAGTTAGGGTGCAAGTTTTTATTAACTAGTCTCAGTGACTTTTTTTTGAGTACTGAAATTGCTCCTTTGCTTTATTTCTTTTTCCTGTTATGACTTGATGTTTATATCTTCAGGACAGTTTTTTTTTTCTGATATTCAGATAACTAGTTACTTAATACATGAGAAATTTTATTGCCTTTAATATTCAAATATAATATTATTTCTTTCTTGTTCCATTCACAGCGCAATGGGAAACTGAGAGTATCAAGAAAGGATATTCAAAAGTTGCTGATGCTTATGGTTGCCTTGGAGTCCTAAAAGTCAATCTTGGTAAGAAGAGACATTTACATTATAGTGCAAAAGAATTATTTAAAATATGAATACAAGGTTTCTGTTGAGAACGTTAAGATAAAACCTTTATGATAAAGAAAAAACAATTATAATATGCGTTTATTATATTTAATTATTAGATTTGTAAAGTGAGATACCTCCACACAAAATTGTGCTTAGTTTGAAAAGACCCCGGCCCTTACATTACTGGTTAAACACACTTTTTGAATACTAAGTGCTGTAAAAAACAGGAGTATTTCTCTAATCAAAAGTTGACAGTGTGTTAAAAATCTTTTTAGCCAGTATCCACCTGGTTGCTTGTCTCATGATAATCGCTTTGTTATTGATGAAGATGTTTTGACCATCACACACCATGCTGCTGGTATTCACTGGCAGGCGATGGTGTCACTTTGCCATTGTGTGACTAATATCTTTTGCACCATGGTTGCTAGTGATTGGTGCAATATACGAATCTCACTTTATGGTTGGTGGGTTTTGATCATAAGCATTGTGTGCATTGTTAGGACCAGTACTGTAATGTTTGTGTAAGGTCATTGACATTGAAAGAAAAATCACCACCTAGTTAGCTCAGTTGGGAGAGTGCTGGTCTGCTGAGTGGGGGTTGTAGGTTCAAACCCCAGCTGGACCAACACTCAGTGTCCTTAAATAACTGAGAATTACATGCTGCCTTTGTAATGACATCTGCAGATGGTTAGACTTTCTAGTCTTCTTGGATATGGATGAAAAACCATATGGTTTTGTGGGACATAAAAGATCACTGTTCGATTAGAATAGGGGACCTAGACTCTGGTGGTGTGGCCAACCTCTCCTCGGCTGGATGGGTTATCTGTGAGGAGAAATCTTAATATAAGGGTTATCTCATGATCCTCCTTCAGGAGTCGTAATCGCTACCTGTTTGTACTTTTAGAGCATACATTTTTCACGGTGGAAAACACTAGAACTTCATTTGTCAAAATAATAAAATATCTAGTAAATCCAACTTAATCTTTGATTTCTTTAACTTTCAGGTGAAACAGAGATAAGTTTTTATTTAGTTCTTGTAACTGGTTGTACCTCAGTTGGAAAAATCGGTGAGAGTGAAATATTTCGCATCAATGCCACTCATCTGGTTGCTTTGCAAGATGATCTGGATGAAGAAATAATTTCTGAAGTGCGTAAACTTTTGAACTCTGGAACATTTTATTTTTCTGTTTGTGCTGGAGATAAACAGCCCTTGGACTTAACACTTTGTTCTCAAAGAAGATTTGAGGACTCAGAACCAGACAACAGGTTTTTTTGGTGAGTGAAAACTATGTTTTCAAATTCAGCTTACAGTTACAGGTACATTTTCACAGAAAAGGAATATGGCTTTGGTACGAGTTTTAGATGTAGCTGTAAGGATATCTTCAATTCCAGTAGATCATAAAATTCTAAAACTTTTATCAGCAACATGTAGCACTGATATAATTCTACAAGGCAGTTCTGTACGATTTGAGTATAACTGGTAGTAAATTATTGTAGACCTCACCATGTTAGGCTGTGAAATTGAAGACCCATTCTGGCTGTTGCTTTGTCTCTCTTACAGGTCAAAATTATATTCAGGTTAACATTTTTCAACCTGGGTTGATTTTCTCCTAGTCCTGATTATTCATGAATTAGGGCAAGGAGACAAAGGAAATTGGGAATCAACCTAGGCTAAAAAAAATTTTGACCTTAACATGTAAATTTAACTCCAGCAAAAAGAATCAACATACCGTTTAAAAACTGGACACCTCTCCTTTTTAATAGAAATTTATGTTTTAACTTAATTTGCAGTTTATAATATTTGAAGAAGTCTGCCCTAAGGAGAGAGGGCACATTTATCTTTCTTGCCTCCTTAGATTCAGATTCAGATTTCTCACAGTTTTTTTGCACTATTAAGAAACAGATGTCATGTCACAATTTATTACAGGAATGGAAGAAAAGTAAAAAGATTCACAAAGTACAGAAATTTCTTCTTATGCTTTTAATGTAGCCCTTTTGGCATTTAGTCCTAGACAAGTTCCATCCATTTTCCTACTATTTAAGGCATGTTCACACTTTATCGGGTAGCTTTTGGTGCAACCCTGAAAAGCTATCCAGTTTACACTGTACTGACTTTCCACTTTGGAGATTGGCACAGTGCAGCTTCGCTTCAATAAAGAAATCGCAATAAAATCACCATTGTTATTTGTGAACAGAAGCCCTTTCCGGGATGATTTTTGTGGCAGCGCAAAAGCCATCTGGTAGAGTGTGAGCATACATCTGTAACGTAAGATAATAAATCCTAAAAAGGTGGGTAGACAAAAGGAAAGGATGACACTCAATACTCTGATTAAATACAAGTGATAGCAATACTTTTTTGTGTTGTTTAAAAGTCTGTCTATCTTGAACATTCAATATTTTACAGTACTAAACATTAGCTTTATTGTCATATTCATTTACTATCATATTTAGTAATTGAATTGGTTTTGAATACTTTTGACAATGAATATTGTATTCTCAGGAATCGCAGCTTACATATTCACTTACAAAGATTTGGAATTGACTGTTCACAATGGCTTCTTCGGATGATGTGTGGAGCAGTAGAAATTAAAACTGTTTATGTTGGAAAGACGCAGGCCAAAGCCTGTATTATTTCAAGATTAAGTTCTGAGAGAGCAGGAACAAGGTTTTATGTTCGAGGCACAAATGATGATGGACATGTTGCCAACTTTGTGGAAACAGAACAGGTAATTGCCTAGAATGAACCTTGTATGGCTTTTAGTGGTTTGAATGCCCCTACCAGCATTTTACATTATCCACGGAGATCTTTGCAGTGAATCATCTTGTATGCACATTAAACATATATTTTTAACATTTCATAGTAGGTTGTTGTGGAAAAGAAACAAAGTTGAATGCCCTCAGCACAATTTGTACTGCAGTGTGATTCTAGTTTTCCAGGATCTGCTCCAATATGACGTTATCACATTTCTTTTTTTTCCTTGCCAATAAATAACAAACTGAATATTGATTTAATGCGTGCAAGCTTTTACCTGTGCGAGCAGACTAGAGCTTTTCTGGAAAAAGACATTCTGCTCTAGCAACCAAGTTATGCAAACTTGGGCTAAATGTATCAATACTCGTAGTTTTTATGCTAGGCTGTTCATTAAAATAAGTAAGACTTAGGAGTAAGACATATTTCTGTTTGTTGCCTCTCTTATGCGAGTAAAATTTACCTTCATGTACATGCCCGTAAAAATTACACGACAGTAGAAATCCACCTTAAGCCAACTTTATCAAGCTTCTAGTTATGAACCACATGGGAGAAAATTGTACGTAGTAGGCTGTTGTGTACTATCACTGCCTAGTTTCTCTCAATTTGGACCAAGATGTAGACCCCTCTGTCCCTGGTTAATATTATTATTCATGTTGTAATTTTAGTTTATTGTGGTTGATGACATGACAACATCTTATGTTCAAACTCGAGGATCAGTGCCAGTTTTTTGGGAACAGCCTGGCCTACAGGTATGACATTGTTTAGCATGCATTTAAAACTTAGTACTAGCACTACTTGAATCGCAGAGCCTGGTGAAACAGAGGCTAACAAAACAGTAGACGGGTTGGGCAGGGTGGTTGGTTGGGAGAGTTTTTCCACTTTTTAGGAGAAAAAAGATTTGTTTATGGGAAACAAAGGTAATTTTCGAGAGGATGAGAGGATTGTAGCCTCCCCCTTTTCCTCCTCCCCCATACTGTGCTTAATTAAAGAATCTAATAATAATAAAAAAGGTCAGTGCCAAATGATGATTACCAGCTGTAACAATTGCATCCTGGGTGCTTTTATTTGTCATTGTCATTTATTCAATCCTTCATCATTCTGGGGAATAAAAAGTACCTTTTGTTAAATGATTGCAGGTTGGTTCTCACAAAGTCAAGCTCTCTCGAGGATTTGAAGCATCTTCACCTGCATTTGACAGGTAAAGTAAAAAAACATGTTTAGTTAACTTGAAAATTCAAGTGAAAATTCCCTCGAATACTTCCTACAAAAATAATTTCCCAATGATTGGGGTTTTTGCGTAGTAACTACTAAGTGAAAGACAAAACAGTGGTCAAATGGGGTAAGAAAAGCAAAAGGAGTAGGGAAGAAAGAAAGCGCTTGCTGTAATGTAGCATCAGCAGCAAAAACCAGGGTGGTTCCCCTTGACTTGTAAACTGTGTTTTGAGCAGTATTCGCCACTTGCACATCTCCCATAATGCACCTTATTTGCCGCTCAAAATTTTGCATAACCTTTGTTTTTCATTTCTCCTGGGTATTACAGCCGTCCCAAGAGAAATTGAAAACAATGCTTTTGAAAAATGTTGGGGGACAAATAAGATGCATTATGGGAGATGTGTGAGTTGCAAATTGGTTCTTTTTAGCCAGATAGTGCTAATGTTGTTACTAATATTTGTGAAGATACAATCGGCTAAGGAGATTGATTCCTACAACTCGTTTTGGTGTGGTTTAATGCACTACACTTTGAAGAACTTTCTTAATGGTATTTTTTTTCTTTTTCAGACATCTGACAAGCTTGAAACATGAATATGGCCAGCAGCTGCTTATTAACTTGCTGGGCTCAAAAGAAGGTGAAAATACTCTCAGTGTTGCCTACCAGGTGAGATGTCTTCTTAGAAATGATCATCCTTTTCACTGCAAGATCCAAATCTTGAAATTCAGTAAATGAAACTCATCACTTATTAGGAGATTTAATACCTTTTGCTTTTGCTTACTTCCACGGGTAGCTGTGACTTTCCATAGCTTTATATGCAGACATACCTTCCCTGAGAACTGTTTAGTGATCCCAAAGCACGTCTGTTGATAGCCTGTGTACAGACCCCCCTCCCCTCAGTGTTTCCGATTTTTCCTGAGGGGAGGGGGGGGGTCTGTTCACAGGCAAATTAATCTGTTGATGGCTGCCGATTGTTTTATGCGAAACGCCATACTTGCAGAATATCAATACACTGGATTTACTATAAGTTACAGTATATTTCCTGGTATGGTAAAAATCCTGAATCCTGAGAGGTGGGATTTAGATTCTATGTATTGTATCTATTGTTAGTATGGATTCTGCAAATCCATGGTTGGATTTTAGAAAAGAAACGCGAATACCGTTTATGGATTCAGGAATCCGGCCGGATCTCAGAGTGTAATTAACGTACTTGTAGCACCGAGTATTCTGTACCAAGTTGCCTGAACTTCTGTTTTCAGGATCAGTTGAAAGATTCTATACATGGGAGCACAACACGCATGATCTGCTTTGATTATCATCGAAACTGCCGGGGCGGAAAATTGGACAAACTTTCTGTTCTAAAGGATAAAGCCAAACCCTCTATGAATGAATTTGGTTTGTTTTTTGCCAAAGGAGATCAGATTATAAAGTATGTATTCTTGCAATTCTTGAAGGGTTACTTTTCTTTATTGTCATATAGAACAGAAATACTTCTAAAACTGACATGTTATTGGCTAAGTGTCACCTCTACTTGGTCGACAGCAGTAAAAACAATGATGATGATGATGTTGCTTGGTTCTTGGTGATGATAATGGTGATGATGAGAAGTATGCAAGCAATGCATTGTTTGAGCTGATGAGTCTTTTAATGTTGAGCACTTAATGTAGTTTTGCATTTTAAATAAGCTATAAAAACGTATTACCATTAAAAATGAGTGTTTCCTTCACCCTCAAAATTGGATGTATGTCGGAAATATATGGGTCATAATGCGGTTATTGATTGAGTTACACTCAAAAAATTTGTTTTATAAACCGAGTTAATGAAGAGTAAATTTACCACCTTTAAGGATTCTAGAGTTCGAGTGCTGGTCCTTTGTCTTTTCCAGAGCTAGTCTTACTGTTAATAAAATATTTTTTCCCTACGGCCTGCCCCATGTTAGTCAACGGAGGTAACTTTCATTCAATTAAGCCTTATTTATCACTGAATGTGTACTTTGAAATGCCATTGATAGGAGACAAACAGGATCCATCCGTACAAACTGCATAGATTGTATCGATCGAACCAACAGTGTACAGACTTACCTGGGCCTTTGGGTAGGTTGACTTCTAATAGTCTCTTACAGTTCTTAAAGACTCTTATTGAATGAAAACTAAACTTTATTAAATGCGTTTTTAAATTACCGTGGCACCGGTTTCTAGCCTCTTTTTTTATTTGTCTCTGAGTAAGCTGGTCTTCTTATTAATTCCTCTGTTGCAACTCCGATTTCTTGTACCCCCAAGGATGGTGGGGGGTGGTGGTGGCGGAGAGATGTCACTCCTCAGATTTTGTTAGGGGCGTGCGTACACTTCTCTTTTTATCGGCATTGGTACCAATTTGCAATTGTAACTTGTGTAATCTTTATTAGATACTGTCCCTGCAAGTGGAGTGTTTGGGATTGTCCAACAAACAAGCCTTACTCTCCAGATTCCAAGAAGCGTTTCGATCCATGTGGACACAAAATGGCGACCATATCAGTCGTATGTACCTAGGAACAGGAGCTTTAGATGGCAAGGCAAAGGTATCTGCTTTCAACTAACCACAATCATGGCCGCTCTCAAGAGTTCGCGAACATTCCGAATTTGTAAATTTCATGTTATCTTTTGCTGTGCAAGCGGCGATGTCAACAAAACATACTCTAGAATTAAGTTCAGTGTTAGATATTTTGTTTCACGTTGTGACTTTTTCGTACATGCACTACAGCCAAAGTTATGGGGAATCAAACATACTGGGGTGAGACGTTAAAAAAATGGAGGCGAGCCTTCTCAATTGCGTAAAGACCAAACTAATAGCTGCTGCTTGCCAATTAGTGGTTGGTGAAAGATGTTGTAGAGATGGTTTTCGTTAATTCAGCTGCTTTGTATGTTTTTCGTTTCTAGGTTATCAACAAACTACGTGATGGCGCTCGCTCGGTTCACAGAACTATCGTCAACAATTTCCTGGACGGAAGCAAGCAAGAAGCTATTGATATGTTACTGCTAGGAAACACGTTTGTGGGAGAACTGGGTGAACGGGCGCGTGCGCTTTTGTACGCGTCATTTTTACACGGTAAGTTGCGTGACTTTTTTCAGGTAACACTAGCGAGAGGGTCTGAATGGGGGAGTCCACTTGTCAGTTGTCGGTTAAAATTAAGTTACTTGGTCGGTAGTCGGCTAAAATTTTCGATCTTCGTCAGTAGTCGGTTAAACTTTTTGATTTTTGTCGGTTGTTGGGAAAATCTCAGCTAATAAGTAAAAACGCTTGTTAATTATTAATATTTTTTTATGTATTTCACCCATTTTCAAGACTTTGATCCCTAAGGAAAGAGTAAAACTTGTAAGAATGCATCATTTGATTGCACTTAAACTTCGTTAACTCTTGTTTGTTTATGCAACATGATCGTTTATTTCACCATTGTTTGCCAAATGAATATCATGAGTAATGGTAAAATCACCAAACCGTTTATTGTAAATGCAAACTTAGACTCCAGGGCCGAGTTGTTCAAAGCTGGGTTAAGATAACCGAGGGTTAGTGCGAGATTTGAATTCAGATTTGGAAGCTTAAAAAGCATTTCAGTTTTAATTCTTTTTGTCTACTAGTTGATGATTGGAAGCTCTAAAAATAACAGAGAAAATTACCCGACAAGATGCTTTTGAAAGCCAGAAAAAGAAACCCGGGTTAAATTTAACCCCGGGTTAAGCGCTAATCGGCTTTCGAACAACTGGGCCCAGCCTTTTGGATACTTAAATTATTCTTTGGGAAAAACTGCAAGGTGTGACCGGCTGCACATCTATACCTTTAATGTTTTGGCTCTAACAAGCATGTCCTTTGCCATATTTTCCTTTCTCAAAGAAATAACACTTTAACCCTCAGACGTACAAGGGGTGGGGGTGGGGAAGGTTTTTCTGGGATTTTTCCAAAAGGATAAAACATCAGCACGTGACGTTTTCAGTAGATGGTCGTTTATCTCTCGCACGAATTTTGAGACAAGTTCAGTGATGATCAGTTTCTATGGTTACGAGTTATGACGTAATACGTAGCTGGTGGTCAAGCCATTTTGAGAGAAAATGTATGTTTTTTTCCAACTTTTTTCAACAATAAAAGTAAATCTTGTGGCTAAAATCATGCAAAGTGCTTATTTATGCGTTATTATTCATGTCAAGCAATTGCCACTTCTCGCTGTTTTAAGCTGATTTCTAATTCTTGGTAAAATCCAAGATCACGGCCAAGATGGCGACCATTGTTGGTGACGTCACAGGCCTCCAGCAGTGCCACCAGTCATAAAATACACCTCATCTTGTTAAGAAGATCAAGGGCTTTTCAGTGATGGCAAAATCGCTTCGAAATACTGCAACATATCAAAAACTCTAGGGAGGGGTCCCATCTACCATCCTCTTTTACCATGGTGGGGGGTATGATTTTGCGTGTACGTCTGAGGGTTAAGTGGTTCTTTAAAACTTTGGTAAGGTAGTGGTTGGTTTTGTATGAGTTTACACTTTTTCATTGAAGCTTCTTTTATAATAGACACTAAGGGCTTGTACTGTGTCACGAAAGGCAATATTTCTTTTTCTTCCTTGTTGTTTTGTTTCAGAAGCGCTGCTTTCCTTCTGTGAGCTTTACTTCTAATAGCAATTTTTCTTTCAAAATTGTGTGGCCAGCCTCTGTCCATCAACCGTTTTTTGAAATCTGAAATACTTCCTTAGAGGAGTTTGTTCGTAGGATTCTCAAGGCTTCTTGTTTGTCAAATCCATTTTAACAATTGGAGGGTGATAAGAGGTGAAAATGTATATACTGGAGGTTTCCTTTTAAAATGCGTCTTTACGTCAATGATATAGCTTTTTCTCATTTTTCGTTGAATGTTATGCCTCGGTATCCAACCGGGTCTAAAAAGGTTGTCTCATTGTCAGATATTTCGGTCGTAAATTTCATAGCCAGTAGAGCTAGAGCAGTAGGGTGAAGTAAGTTTACTTGTTCCGTGAGTTTGAACAAATCTACCATGTCTGGTTTACTTATGTCCCATAAGGAAAAATATCATCTATGTAGCGTTTTCAAACAGTTGGTAAATAACGTGTAAATGGAGTCTTGTGCGGCCTTTTTGAAGAAAAGGAAAAGTGATGAACACCGGCATTTGAATTATATTTTGTACGTCATACGATTCGTGTTTCTATGTTTTGGCTTTTAACGAAATGAGTTGTCGAAAAGTGTGGAATAAAGTTTTACTTCACCTTTATAACTTTGATAATACAATTTATCTAGCAAGTCTTTTTCTAGGAAACATTAACACATTTCTTGAAATATTTCGTTTGCAAGAACAACAACAACAACAAAAAAACAAATCATAACCGTTGGCTGTCTTATGTGATACCATACCATTTCTACAAGATCTGGTAAAGTGCGAAAAATTGAAAATGTATCTGTTCTTTCTCAGCCTCTCCCACGATTCTCCGCGAGCTGTGCGACCGCCACCTTGAATACACTACGTGGTCCAATATCCGGATATGTGTAGGAACGTGGAATGTAAATGGCGGGAAACATTTTCGAAGTATCGCTCACAAGCATCAAACAATGCACGACTGGCTGTTGGACTTTCACAAAACACTTCCGGACAGCGGTTATTCAGAGACTGATAGCGTAGATTTTCGGTTGCCCACGGACATATTCGCCATTGGCTTTGAGGAGCTGGTGGACTTAAATGCTTCAAATATAGTTTCAACAAGGTAGGTGTAACTTTCGGTCAGGGGTGGGATAATAACCCCGGCATCATCATCATCACTCGGCCCTTACGGTTAGGATGCTATGAACAATCTTATACCAGACATTCTGGTCTGACATGGCATTTGCAAGATCCTCACTGTCAATTCCGGAATCTCTCGAGATCATATGCAGGTTTTCATTTTCTTTGAATGAACAGGGCCAGTTGGTTTCCATAGACGAAGGGATTGGATGATCTCACAACCGATCCCATCCAGTCTACATGTAGTTCCTTTTACCTCCAGGAATAGTAACTTTCTTTTTTAATTAATGGGCCTATCTTAAGTTTTATCTATTGTTTAACAGAACCACGTCCTAAGCGACTTTCAATTTGACCAACCCTAATATCTAAAGATAGTTTGCTACGGTTTATACGACGCATATACTGTATACTTATAAAATATTTATCTGTTTGAAAATAAGACATCATTTTTAAAAAAATGCGGAGTTCCTCTTTTAGTCTCAAACCGCTACGATGTCTTTTTTACTCCTAAATTATTGCGATATTTTGACCCTTATTGCGAGTGGCGTAATGTTCACTCAACTAAACTTCATTTTCTTACACTTTAGTTCAAATCAGCGAAAGGAATGGGGCGAAGAACTGCGGCGTATCATATCACGTGACCATGCGTATGTTCTGGTCACATGTGAACAGCTGGTTGGTGTTTGCCTGTTTGTTTTTATTCGACCGCATCTTGTACCGTTTCTAAGGTAACTAAACACACAACAATTATTCACTTAGACCTTCTTATTAAAAAAGTAAAAAAGGTTTAACGAAAAACCTCGTACGATATTCAGAAAATTGCACAATTTGTAATTCTTTAGAAAGTTTTTGGATCAGTGGTAGATCACGTTCTTTCTGTTCTTTTCAGAGATGTAGCTGTGCAAACCGTCAAAACAGGGCTTGGTGGTAACGCTGGAAACAAAGGAGGAGTGGCTATCCGTCTGTTGTTACACGCTACTTCTATCTGTTTTGTGTGTTCACATTTTGCTGCTGGTCAGTCGGGGGTAGCAGACAGAAACAGTGATTATCATGATATAGCGTCACGGGTTGTCTTCCCTATGGTAAAGTATTGATATTCTGAAACGTTTATTGTAGGTGAAACTATTTGGAAGACATCTATGGCGCCGTGTTTTAATTATCATTAATGGGCGTCTCAAAAATCGCAAAACGACACTTAAGGGCTGGGAGAATACCAGGATGAAAGGAAGAGAAAAAAGCGAAATAAAGGACTGTTAACAGTGAAAACTGTTTTATCCGTAGTCTTGGTTAAGTGATTACAGGCAAAAATTGAAACTAATTGTTTGATAGAAAGAAGTGGAAAAGCGAAGGGAAAAATTTGAATTCTGTAAGAGAGACTCGCCCCTGAAGACAAAAGTTATAAGAGGAACTTATTAAGTTTTTTATTCTGATGCAACAATCTCCTGACGTGTTTCCTAACTGCGTGTGGAAAATAACGCGTGGAAAATTTAAGAATTCATTAATTAACATTTAATGGTTGAGGCTGACTATCTTATGAAGAATTATGGAGGAGGGTGTTATGATAACACCCTCCGAGATCTCCATAATTCTTCATATCATACGAAAGCCAAATTCAATTGTTTTATTATTCATTCAAAATAATTCCTAGTTTAAAAACATGGCTAAACAAAAACCTTAGTTTTACTCTAGTACAGTAGTATATTTTACACTGGCGGACCTCTTAGGAAACCAATAAAGTTCAAGAGGTCAAATTCAGGGATTGTCATTGGTGCATTTCGATCCATTTTGCTTCTGACTATTTTGATGCTTAATAAGCAGATATTTTGAAGCTGTTGGTTGTTTACGATTTCATTCATTTACACAATTCCAAATTGCACAGAAGAACAACAGTACATAATCTTACTACGATCGACAATACTTTGAAACTTTAGCTTCCATTGACAGCTGTCCGTTTTAGGAGAAAAATTCCACTTTTGTAGCAGAATTTAATTCAAGTCTGAAAATTTCTGGGGGGGGGGGGCTCGAGCCCCCCCTGCCCCTCCCCCTGTTACGGGCCTGGATAATGCTCGTTTAGGGTTGTTCAGCTCCGCAAATATTCTCCAAAGAGCAGATGTCGCCCTTCGAGTTGTCTTCTTGCTGTTCTTGCCATGTTTTTAGCTATTTTTTCGCCTAGTTCTTACTCTTGAAACGAGTGAAATGTCCGCCATTTTTCAAGTTCACAACCAAAACAACTCAACCTTGTCCCCAGGTCTTCTCGGTTAACGGTGCATTAACCTGTAGAAGGCTGCATTTTTGACGTCATTTCTTCGTTAAACACAAAATTCCTCCAAATTTCTTTCATCAGTAACTGGTTATGGTGAATTATGCGTGTGCTTTTAGCCAATCAGAATTGGAGAAATATTCTGAATGAATAATAATTGTCGTTATTATTCATTCAAAATATTTCCCCGATTCTGATTGGCTAAAAGCACACGCATAATTCACCATAACCAGCTACTGATGACCAAATTTGGAAGAGTTTTGCGTTAAATGAACAGATGACGTCAAAAGTGCGGCTTTCTTGCACGTTAACCGAGAAGACCTGGGAACGAGGTTGAGTTGTTTTCGTTGTGAAGACAAAAATGGCGGACATTTCACTCGTTTCAAGAGTAAGAACTAGGCGAAAAAATAGCTAAAAACATGGCAAGAACAGCAAGAAGACAAATCGAAGGGCGACATCTGCTATGTGGATAATATTTGCGGAGCTGAACAACCTTAAACGTGCATTATCGAAGATGAACTTAACATCGATGGATCGATGAAGGTAAGCATGTTTTAGCCATGTTTTTAAACTGAGAATTATTTTGAATGAATAATGAAACAACTATTGAATTCGGCTTTCGTATCGAGATCTCCATAATTCTTCATAAGATACTCAGCCTCATTCATTCATTGTTAATTATTCTCTGATTATGCTAACGCAAAATCAACCTTGTCTGTCTCCCAATCAGGGTCGACGATTATCGTCACATGACTATGTATTCTGGTGTGGTGATTTTAACTACCGTATCGATCTGCCCATTGAGGAAGTAAAAGAACTGATAAAAAGCAAACAGTGGAATGAACTGCTGAAAGAAGATCAACTTGTGAAGCAAAAGAACGCTCATAAGGTACAGTGATTCAAGAGTCCTGCAGGAAAAAAAGTTCAGTAATGGTTTCTCCTTGTTAAATAACAACTCTCCCCCTTCTTTCTTTGATTTTTGCCTATGATTGTCAATAAATTTGCCTTTTGTTGATAACCGTGGTTTCAGTGTAGTAGAGCGTTTCGTCTGTTTGTAAACTAATACGCAGAAGGGATTTAGTTATCGAATTTTACTGATTCAGAATCTTTTAAATGACAGTCTTTTGTGCGGATCCAACTAGTTTCAGTCGAATATACCCACGCCAGAGTACACGAAAATTACAAATTTTTGCTGCTGCATGAAAACCTCGATATAAGTGGAATTTGTATGAAACTATTCAGCGGAAAAATTAATAATCCTCTAGAACAGTATGCCAGATATTATCCCACAAGGCCACTCAAATGTGACATCTTGGCCCTGTTACTCCGTTGTGCAGCCAGTGTGGTCGACAGACTTGAAATCTAGGGGTTTCTTAAGCCCGGTTTCCTAAAAATTTACGGAAAATCAGTTTTGAGTAAGTAGTCGACTGCTTCAATTACAGAATTATTTTCAAAATTGGGCCGTATTATCCTGAAAAAAGAAAATAATAGATAATGACCATACTCAGCCACTATCAGCTTCTGCGTGTACATCATTCATCATAGATTTTAGTTTGCTTGTTTGTTGTTCCTGTCATGAAAGTGACGTAAAAGTGCTTGGTCAAGTGATCTTAAGGCAATTTGTTTGTGTTTTTCTGACAAGGTTTTCCGTGCATTCTTTGAGGGAAAAATTGCCTTTCCTCCAACTTACAAGTACGACTTATTTTCCGATGATTATGACACCAGTGAGAAGATGCGCAACCCGGCCTGGACCGACCGGGTTCTCTGGAGACGGAGAAGGCCCCGGTACAAATCCACCACACTTGTGCGTAAACACGTGACACCACAGCATAACCATGTACTACAGGAAGGCAAGGAATTACTGATGGGGGGAGGGGAAGATGAGACTGATGCTGATGACGTGTTTGACGATGATGATGATGATGATGAAGAGGAGGAGGAAGTTGATGATAACGAAGAGGAAAGCGATGAACAAGATGGAAAACGGGGTAAAATTTGTTTAATGTAACGGGAAAATTATAATTATTCCTCAAATGATGGACTTCTGTTTATAGGAAACGAGCAGTGAATTCCATACAAAAGGTTTAGGTTTGGCAGGAGTTCACTGATGGCTTTCAGTAATTTGTTTAAGTAACCTAGTGGCACAAAGCATTATTGCTGCATAACGACATTTTTTGTTTTGTGATAGAAAACAGCGGCGATAAATCTGGTAACAGTGAAGGTGACAGGATTCATTTTACTGCTGGTAAATGCCTTTACTATGGCCGAGCAGAGCTCAAGACCTCTGATCACAGGTACACTCAAGACTAGAAGCTTAGATTTTGTTTTTAAAAATGCTGATCATGCCAGTTGCAAGTGGGAGATCGTTTGATCCAAAAGAGTCAAGGTGGTGGTTTCCGATTTGCCTGACTTTTTTTCAAGCCTTATTCCAAAGTCCTGCAGTTATAGTTGTCAAGTCTGCAATTAATTTCCTGCGTTTAAATCACGTTAGATAAAATGATAGTCACTTTCGAGCCAGGTAGGTACGCATTTTGTGGTGCAGTGCTGAAGTTAAGGTGAATCGAACTTTTTAGCCATCTCGGACCGGCTGGTAGATGTAATCCTACAATGAAAGCAGTTATAAGGAAGCATCCGTAGTTTGCGCTCCTGTTTTGTAACCTTTTTGTTTGTTCTTAATTGTGTGAAATATGATTTATAACCACGAAAAGTTCGCAACATGACATTTGTGAATTGAGCCTTATCAACTATGAGCCTTTTAGAGAGATCACAGAGAGCTGACAAGCCCTTAAGACACTACCATCACCAAAATGCAGCCTTTTGTTTATCTTGTTTACTTTGCGTTATGTTCCTTTCAAGCGCAGTGGACGAAATTAAATAATCTTTGCTCGCTCTCCCATCTATCCAACTTTCCTTCTTCCTACTTTCAGCTAAATATTGCCTCTAACGATCTTCCTACTTTCTAAATATTGCCTCTGTCTGGTCGTAGCTATTTTCCTTAAAAGCTTAGTGGATAATTAACAATTATTCCTCGAGCACGAATGGGCTCTTAGTCGGCCGAATGGGCCTTTGACTCAGAGGCCATTCGGGCTCGAGGAATAATTGACTATTGACTCAGTGGCCATGAGGGCGAGAGAAATAATTGTTTTAGTAAAATCAAACTAGCTGGTCAAAAATATCAACTCAAAACAACTTTAGCTAGCAAAACGCGATTCAGCCGCCATTGTTTTGGTTTTCAAAGCCGGCGCTTTTCGCTACTAGATAGTGGGCTATAACATACAGCATAGTAGTAGCTCAACTAATCAGAACGCAGCATTGATAATAGACCACTAGTTGGATTTTACTAAAACCAAATAGTCTTTGCTCGCTCTCCCATCCATCCAACTTTCTTTCCTCCTACTTTCTAACTTACTGTAACCTGATAATGCCTCTAACTGGTTGTGACAAGAGATTCAGGAATCAAAGCAGTAACACAAATTTCGCTTGTCTGCAGGCCAGTTGTCGCTCTTGTAGAAATTGAAATACAAAAAGTGGATCGGACCAAGCAGAGACAAGTACATGACGTGGTTATGAAGGCTATGGGACCCGCTGACCCAACCATCGTGGTAACAAGCGATGAATCAGGCGATGAGGATCCTGGAATTGATGTATCGGAGCTTCTTGAGGCTGTAGAGCCTTATGGGACGGTAGTGTTAGTAAGGTAGGTTGGATATTCTGTCATCGCCAAGCAGACGTCTTTGTTGAAATGTGCCAATCTTTCCGGAAAAAAGAAACTTTTTGGAGGATTTTTGAGAGTTGAGACCAATTGGTCATGTTCTTTTAGTCAGCAGTTTTGTAAAATTACGCTCTAAAAAGTAATTTATGATACGACCCTTCCGGTCCCGCGCGCAATTTCGTTGGAAAACCATATGATAAAAAAGCCCCGTATGAGGGCCGTAAGAGCAAAGTGACAGCGAAACGAGGCAAATGCGGCCATGAACGCGTTTTCTCTCCGTTAGAAAAATTCAAAAACACAACAGTCATGATGAAATGCTCATTAGCTGAGTTAGGTCGGGCCAGATGGGAAAATATTTGGCTCTCGGTCAGGACGCACGGTCCTCGAGCCATCTGTTTTCCCTTCCCACTCAGTCAGTAAGTACATATTACGAATTTAGTATTTTGCTGTGTTAAGTTTTCCAAATTTATGGCTGTTTGATAAGAAAAGAAGTTGTATTAGAAAACTGCCCCTTTCTGGTGGTTGAGTAACCGTCTTTTGTTTGTGTGCGTGTGTTTTTTTTCCAGAGTGGTTGACGATGAAATTTGTTTGACTATGGATGATGGTCGAAGTGCATTGAAAGCTCTGGAACTGGACGGAAAGGAGGTAAACAAAATAGCAGGAACAGTTGGATTTTTTGCTAAAATCACTTTATTAACCCCCAGTATTCTGGAAGTGCAAGAGTTATAGTTGAAGCTGTCATATAACGAGACTCTTTCGTGGACAGTTTTAATGGTGCCTGGAGTAAGCAAATAAGCGTTTCGTAGAAGAGAAAATTTGTGGTAATCGTGTTGTAAACGTCCACCTATTATTCACTTGAGACATGTTTAGAAAGGTTCGGGGAAATTAAAGATTGTTGTCTTTTAAATGGTCACCGATTGTTTTTTTTTTTTCACCTAAAGGTAGCCACCTTTCTCACCTGGCCTATCTTTTAACGAGAGAAATAACTGTTTATATATTTCATAAATCGCTTTAGGTATGTGGAAAAACTGTTCAAGTCAGACTGAAATCGGATTCTCTTCTGTATAAAACGGACCTCACGGTTCAGAGCCTCGTCACAAAAGATACTTCATTCGTCGATGCTTCGGAAGAGATTGACGATAGTCCGTTCAGTCCCGTAAGAGGTCGGGCTCTTTCGGATTTGTTATCTTCGCCAGGGGAAAAGCATCCTAATGGCTTGCCTGTATTAGAACCAATTAAGATTCAGTCGACGGAAGATGCCGAGGATGAAAGCTCTGAGAGTGAGGTGGAAGATGAAATGAACTTTGAGGTGACTAATGATAGTGATGATGATAGTGAACCCGAGGTGGACCGCGAAATAAAGAGGACAAGAGACGAGGATGGAATGAACGGTAGGAGCTAAGATATAGAACTTTAAAATGAAGATTACGGTTCACGTTTCATAATTCAAATCTCTGCCCTGGTTGTCTACCAACACGATTATTAAAAGACCACTGCTTTATGTGGACATTTTATTCCATCCAGCGGGGAGAAGCGCGGAGAGTAATGCGCTTCTTAGTTTCTGTATAAATGGGAAACAACAACTGCTCCCTGTTCCATGTCATCTCTCTTGAGGTTTATTATCCTTTGCTTCCCTTTCAGCAGTTGAAGGCCATAAAAGGGAAGACAGTCAGAAGCCGGCTCCAAAGCGTCCACCTCCACCAAGACCCGCACCCGCACGACCCAAACCTGTGTCCAAGGCTCCTTCTCAAGTGGAAGTAAAAACAGTCCAAGAAATCATTGTTAGCTCAATGCCTGAAGAGGATGGCCCGACTGCAACAACAACTGGAGCCATTGATGATTTTGATCCGTTGGTTAAGAGTGCTGCCAAGGCTTCTCCAAAACCTTCCAGGCCCGCTCCTCCTAAACGACCAGCTCCTCCCAAGAGACCCACTGATGGTCCAAAGGTACCGGCCCCTGCCACCCCCTCACAAAAGGAAATTTCTCTGAATCCCAAGCCTAAAGTAGAAATCATTCATGGTCAAACAAAGAAAGCCAAACAGGTAAAATGAGTTTGGGTTTGAATACAAGTGAACTTGTAGACTTCGAATGTGGACTTGCATTACCTTCGTAACTGATTTACCTTGTGAAATTCGGGTTTTACTCATTTTCGCGGCAATTCAACGCCTGCAACTGGAATATCGTTAAAGCAAAATTCATCTACAAGACATGTTAGTAAAAAACAACCCGCTTTTTTGTCGTTTCGCATTCACCGACCATATAACGAATTTCCAGAAAAATTCACTATTTGTCGTAAGAAACTTCCCCACCCCTAGAAAACCTTTTGAAACCGTCCGTGGTTGTCAATTACGCGCACATTTTTTTGCAAGACGGACTATTTCCCTTATGGCTTATTGCACCCTATACATAATTTCTAGTTCGTTATGTTGTCGAGTATTTATTCTTGACCGTGTTATGTATTTTGGACTGAATCAAAGACTTCTTTTTGTGATTTACTTACAGGGCTCCGGTCCAGGGATAAGTGTCCCATTTAACGTCCAACATGTGGCCCATATAGGGGCTGATAATGTAGAGGCTCTGCTACAGGCTGCCAAAGATGACCCCAAATTACTCCCTTCGTTTTTACTACCCGAGGGTTTAAAGGAAGAGAAAGATGAAGGGCAACAAATGGTGGAAACAGATGAGAACGCCCCAAAAGGTAAGCGTATGAACAAGCTGCTGAACAAGGTTTGCTTTTGAATAGTAGTTAGGTTGATGGAATCCACAGGACTGGTTGAGAATTTTGTTAGAATTTCATCGATAGCGTCTTTGTTGTTAGCCCTCTACATGGGTTTAGAGCATTGTTTCTACATTCTGTTTTGATGAATATCTTGAAATACGCCTATAGTTTCTTCGTGTTTACGTTTCCTTGCTTGTACTTGTATTTTAAGTTGGCAAGGTACTTTTCAGGTTTTTTTTTTCTTTTGTTTTAATCCGGGTTCCTAATGTAGTTGAAAGCGATGAGCATTTTTATCAACCCATACTTTGCACTGATTGTTATTTTTTGTTTTGTAAAGGCGACAAAGGAGAGGAAACCAAGGAGAAGTCACTTGACTCAGATAAGAAATCGGCCACTGCTCGTCCTGTTACAGATCAGTCTAAACCTGCTGACAAGCCTGCACCGATTCCACGCGCTGGTTCAGTCTCCAGTCCCTCCAAACCGATTCCCAAGCCAAGACCTCGCTCGTTAGCAGTCGAACGCGACATTAATGAAGAAACGGACGTTTCAGACTCAACAGAGAGACCTATAGCACCTCCACGTGCTAAATCTAAACCTCCCCGGGGAGAAATCGTGGAAGAGGCTCAACAGAATCCCACTATTAAAGCCCCTAAACCCGAGCCCTCGAAGAGACCGGACTTACATCCCCCTCCGCCTTTAAAACCAAAGCCCAAACCAGTGCGGAGTGAGCGTCCAGTCGATCCTCCTCAAATTTCTGCGAGTGAATCAAATGACGTATCAGTGATAAATGACTGTGATGAAGACACTGTTGAATGTGACAAACTGGAAAGTCAAACAAAAGACCCTGCTAAAGTAGGGCCTCTAGGCGGAGAAACCAAAAAGGCCCCGCCTCCACCGGTACCCCGGAGAGTCGACCTTGAGTAGGCTTGCGGGGCCCCAAAGCAAGTATAAACTGTTGTCGAGTTGGAGAAACACCCTACGAGCTTTCTATTTGTGCTATGGTGTTTAAATACAGACTCTTCTTGTTGCTATGTTACCTCCGAGAGATACTATGGTGAACGACGCGTCACACTGCTTTCGCCACCCCGCGGAAGTCAGTGTTCGTGGTGCTCTTGTGTTGGGGTCTAATTGACTCTTTTGGGTCGTCCTAAACCAAAGTTGTATATAAATCTCAGACGCCCTTTGTAGGCTATTGGCCATGTTTTATAATGCAAATGACAAATGACAACAGACGTTCGACTATTGTGACTAGTGACAAATTCGATTAACATGATAGGAACTTTGACCATGATTTATTTTCAATGTACAGAATTTTTAGAACAACATAGAAATGAATATGATTCAGTGGAAAGGGTATGTTGAGGGGTGTTACAATAAAAGCATCATTTAACACAGCTATCACGCAATGACAGTTTCGGCAATGTTAATAAGGCGAAGCTTCGAGAAAAGGTTCCCAAACGGGTTGAGAGCGTCTAATTGTCTTCATTTCCAGGGTTTATGCGCGTTACGGGATAAAGGACCTCGACACAAGGACGTACACGCTCAATGGCAGATCAATTTTTTCTTTAAGTTTCAAAAGTTTTTCACAAAAAGTTATGCTCTCTTAAAGTTTGGTTGCCTCTGCCAAACCCTTTCTCTGTAGAGGCGACCATAGGAAATTTGCTATTGAAGGAGAGACAGGAGTCCTCTGCACATTGATGGAGCTGTTAAAAAGCTCTTTCCTTTGTTAAGCACTGATAAGCAAGATAAAGAAATGCAGAATTAGTGGTCGGGAAGACGTTCTTTAATAGAACCGTGTGGACCCGGAGCCGGCGAGGTGTTACCAACATGAGGTTAGAAAGAACCCTAAAATTCAACCCAACCTCCCGCTTCGTAGGACTCTGGCGCCAATAGCTACTGATTATCAGCTGATGAAGTATTTTGAGTGACAATCAGTGCAACCAATAATTTCTGTAGACTTTTATGCTAATTGATTAATGTCTCACCAACTTTTAAACCGTACACAACTTCACTGATTTCAGCTCAAATGTTTTGCCTTTTTTTCCCGTTATCCTTAAAATGAAAATCGTGTACAGGACTGGGACAAAGGACTGGGTAAATTGTCACATGATCGAAGTTCTGTTCCATAAATTTGGCTTTAACTTGAACGAATAGCTGAGTGGGATTACACCGCTGTGTTCGGTATACAGGGGTTCGTTGTATCGATACCCTGTGGTATATTCAACGGTCGAAAGTTTTTTCTCTTTTTCAATGAGATCGGAGGTGATATAATTACGCCTAATGAGAGATAAAATATATTAAACCGCATTACAGATTGACGGTTTATGGTGTCATGCCATGATCGTCACCGGGCAATTTGTAGCCAAGTTTTCATTGTCATCTGGTCTACTTTTTTCTTGCTGAAAAGTTGGGACAAAGGCCCGGGGTGGGGGTGGGTACTCCTGGGAATTCTTTGAGGGGATGTGCCGCCCGGTTCTCCAAAAAAGTCGGGACAAAGGCCCGAGGTGGGGGTGGGTACTCCTGGGAATTCTTTGAGGGGATGTGCCGCCCGGTTCTCCAAAAAAGTCGGGACAAAGGCCCGGGGTGGGGGTGGGTACTCCTGGGAATTCTTTGAGGGGATGTGCCGCCCGGTTCTCCAAATCCGGTATAGAGTGAACACCTTCCTATCTGATATGTGACTGACTACACGTTCGAGATCGGCGAGGCGCAGCTTCGCTCCGTCACAGAAATCGCGCTGCAACTGGCAGCCATTTTTGTGTGTGAACAGATCGAAGTCCTGATTTTCGTGGTGGCTCAAATGCTATCCGTATCATGAGTGTGAGCATAGCCTAAGAACACAAGTAGTCTTTCTCTCTTTCCTCAGGGAGTGTAAAGCGGGATAAATACGCGAGCAGTCTTTGCTATCTCTGAAGTGAGGGACTTATAGTAGTCAGCAGTACTGACTCGCTTAGCAAAATTTTAGCAGAAACCGTCTTCTAACCGATGATGTATTCCCCCCATCACCCCCCAAAACCTTCTCCGAAAAAATGACAGTGGCGAGGGGGATAATAGCTCGTTTGGGTAATAAGAAAAATACTGTTATCGTAAACTTGAACTCGGTTGTCTTGTAACACAAGAGTTATTTCAATTACCTGACCTCTGTACCCGATCGTACCTCGACGGTAACTGCATGTTGATCAAAAGCAAACAGCAAAACTTACTAGCCCGTGATGGCATTTGTTTCTTTGGCAAAATGTCCGTTAAACTAAGGCGCTACAGCGAAAAACATCCTGCATCGCTTAGGAAATGAGGCTCGCACGTTCAGCAAAACTTTGCGCGTGACGCAAAACATTGCTAAAGCTGTACTTTGTACGTGAGATAAATAAGTAACAACAACAGAACATGATGAACAAAACAACTTGAAATTTTTAGCTAAATTAAAAACAAACCTAAACACAACGAAACACAAACGACCAGTAGATTTCTTTCTCATTTTCTGTTTTTTTTTTTTTTTTTAATTTCATTGATAACGGACTCGAAACTTGATAAGGTGTAAAAGGCTTTTATGGCAAAATAGGTCAAAATAGTTCTAAGGCAATGACTGATACAATTAAACAAATACAGTAATGATCGATTTATTTGAAAAAGTAGGACTTGTGTCAGGTTTTACTAAAATGTTTCTGATTCGTGGCCTAATTTAGCTGTTTCTTATGACTTCTGTGGTAAGTGGTAATAAGTGCCCGGATTAATGGTAAATAAAGTTTTGGTGATTTTTGGTTGTTCGTGCTTTAATGTCTTCTGTAACAGCACAACAACTGACGCATAATTCTCATAAGGGAAGAGCTCAAAATTATTTTCAGCAATAGAGCATTCTGTTTTGTTCCTTAAATGTTACATCCGTTGCAGAGCGATTGCCTCTGATTGGTTATCTTTCCTGACGAGAGTTGGTGTTAAATCATAACACAGACTGCAATCCATCCATTTCGGTTGAGTGTCAGCCAAGGGAACAGAAAGCCTCTATCAGTTATCTTGTGTCAGCTAGGTCTGTTAAGAAGAAGGCGCAAGACAACGAAAAGGTGAGACAAATGTAAGAAAATTAAATGAAATATCATAAAGTCCTACGATAGCTTACTCCTATGATCCCCCGGCCTGTTAGAGCCTGTTCTTTGTGCTATGAATGACACCTAAAACAGGTCCCATCTTACGAAAGATAAAATGAATCACAACAACGTTGACCCACGCCGCATGTTAAGACATTCAAAACATTTATCTCTGATTGGCTCAAATCCCTCGGCTAATAATACTTCGTAACCAGCTAGTGTTGCCACTCAAATCAATCGCCAGGAAAAGGGACGGTAACCAAGAACCTCTGGACGAGCTCAGTTGTTTTCAGGGTAGAGCTGGATTATGGAGAAAAATTTTACAAGTTCTGCGAAGAAGAAATAGCCGAACCTCTGCATAAAAACATAAAAAAGAACAGCAAAAATACAACTCAAGGGATGATAAGTGCTATTTGAAGGGTATGTGCGAGACTAAATATCCCTTTTTAGAATTTACCAAATCAGTGAATAGTAATTTTTGCGCGTTCTGTTTGGCTCCTGTAACTCGGAATATCCTTGGCTATTCAATGTTTTGCGACCCGAGCTAAGAAGGCGTCCCGTTTCGAGACATTTTCGGAAAGACGAAATTTGAGCGATAAATGATGCATTCGTACCAACAAATACCAAGAAAGTGACGACCTTTGGCTTGTCGGTGTTTACTGCTAGGTAGAAAATTATTCAGTTCATGCTGAATATGCAACAAAATGGTAAAAATGCACTTGACAAAATCCCCGAAATGTTTGTAAATTGTAAACAAAGTTCCTACTAAGTGACGTTTTTTATTTACAAAAAAGTTACTTTTTTCATATTTATCTAACTGATTTGGTAAATACTAAAACAAGTATTCCCCTCAGGGTCGGTGAACGGGGCTAGTTATATATCTCGAAGCTTCGCGTCTCGGTATATATATCTACCACTGTTCACCTCCCCTTCGGGGATAGCTGTATAATATAGGAACAGGCAAATCAAGACAGAGACTTAACATCGATCGAGGTACTAAGCATGTTTTAAAAGTATGAATTATTTTGAATGATTGATACAACAGCTGTTGGGTTTGACTTTCCTATGATGTGAAGACTAAATTAAGCAAATCATAGAAGGTGTTATCCACCTCGGCTATAATAACATATACCCTCCTCGATCTGCATCATTCTTTACATCAAACTGATCCTTACATTATCAATCCAATAATTGCTAATTATCATCTTTATTTTAATACCAGTCATACCGTCCGGCCGTAACACAAACAGAACTCATGACATTACCTTAAAACCATCTTTTTCTTTCATGTTTTCCTGCAAAGAGAATATTACTACATTTTCTTGGATCCTACGGAACCAAAACTGTTTGAGGGTATTCAGTGGATCGAAGGCGCAATATTTTACGATTTCCTCCATGAATAGGTCATGTCATCACGCGTACGTTTACTCGCTAGTGCCATCGTGAATAACTGAGTTATCACCAATCGTGGCCCGTGGCCTCAATTCTCTCTACCAGGCGAATAGTCACATGAAACGATACTTGCAAGAGCCGTCACCAAAGGTTCACGGGTTACTAGGCTTGCATGTTCACCGTAAAGTGAAGCGGTGCTTTCTTCGCAGCCCCATATATATGGTACCGCCGCTGTTTGCATCCTGTAATTGTTGACGAAAATTTATTTCTAAGCTAGTGTTCCAGTTTCGATCAAAGGCTGCGTGGCAGGCACAATGATGACAATATTGTGTATTAAATATTACAACATTTTTATCTTTCAATAAACTTTACACAAGATACGATTTCTATGACTGAATATCTTCATAAAAATACAGAACGTACCTAAGAATGACGGAAACCCCTAAAAGGTAGCACTTAAATAGGCTACAACCGTGAAGTATTAAAAAATTGTTCTAATTCAATTGAACTATGTCAGTACAGATAGCACGTATTTCCTATTTTAACATCGTGAATAATTCCTCGCGAAGCCGAGGTTTCTAAATTTGTCGGACTGCGTTAACAAATAGATTCCACATTGCCGTGCGATTGTTCAGTAACAGACCACAGATGGCGTCAAAATGTGGTAAGAACAAAAAAGTGGCAAAATGCGCAACATCAAAGTAAGCTGCCCGTTCTGTTTCCCGTTTTACCTTTACAAGTATTGAGGGAGCGTGCCCTATTTAGCCCAGGGTCACCTCCAGCTCATTCAAGTCTGGCATAATAAAATGTCCAAAGAAGTTTTCGACGAAGTTCGCTCGTGAGTGTTGCTTGACAATAATTTTATCTTAAAAAGCGCCGCTAAGCGCTCCAAATAACTATAAATTATTTTTCAGGTATAGAAAATGATCAGCCAGCGTCGATTCACCTGTTTTCTCATCACATTGTTTGTGTTCGATGCATCATTCATTGACCAGGTTACTACTCAATGTGGACATTTCAGTAAGCCTTATGGAGTCAATTGGGTCAACAACTGGGATGAAAGAGCTTATTTCAACTGTGGAATAGGTAAGCTCAGGTTCACCAATCAGGTAAGGTAAAAGCGGCAGCAGGAAAAGGCGATAATCGAATCACTCGGAAGGCTACTAACTATGATTTAGAGGGCAAACTTGATCTTATTACATCATTTTAAAAAAATCGAGCCTAAAGCGCGAGAATTTTTAGATTTGTTCAAACATGTGCTACGAGAGTTTGGAACAACTTCACAACTGCTCCGGAGTAATTTCTCAATTTCATTTCTATAGTTCACAGATGGCAAAGAAAAGCAGCTGCAACAAATATAAGATATGGTCATGCATAGACATTGTGAAACTGAAGGACACACTTTTAGCCTCCTCGATGCCAATATCTAAAAACACTTTCAGCAGTTAAAAATTGCTGGAGGAAAGTGCCGCTAATTCTGGTTGTAACGAGACATAATTATATCTTTCAGGGAATTGCAGTAAGAACTGTTTGTGACTTATTCTTTGCTTGTTTATTTTCATGTTCATTGTAATGATTGGGTTGCCAGAGAGGGCAACGCCCAATAGAAAAATGGACAAAATGGCCGACGGACCTCCCAGAAGGCTTTGCGTGTCCCATTTCCCCCTTCAAATTGACCCTGTCACACTTACATAAGTGTAGAGAGTCAACAATTGTTGGAATTTCTGGTTAGATAAGATTAGTCACGTTAGTACTGTCATGCTATATTTTGGGGGGGAAGAAGGATGGGGGAAGGGGGTGAGTTGTGTTAGAAAGGCTGTCTCTATCCCATTCCCCGGGTTAGGAGTAGCTATACACTCAAGCCGGTAAAAAGTGTAACTATAATCTATACTTTCCTAAACAAAAAAACACTGCATCACGCAGTCGACCGCCCAATAAACCCCCACTATATGGGGGTCTTGTTCTTTACATAAATAAGGGCCAAATATAATCTTCTTTAATAATCAGTACGTACGAAATGCATGGGTAGTCAATATATCACTGCCTATGCTGAATATTTGAGATTAAGCAGTGATGTAAAAAATCGTCTTTCTCAGCCTATTGGACGTAAGATTTTCTTTCACTGTCCAATCAGAAGCCTGATATGACTTGTGTCACTTGCAAAGAAAACCTTTTTAACAAGGCAACACTATACGATCGTGCTAAAGAAAGTCACTCTATTTTTTTGGATACACTGTTGAACCACAGCAGTAACTAAGTAGTAACAATGATACTCATCGGCATTAGGTTTCATTTTGCAACTCATGATCGTACGTCCAGGCCTCTTGAATCTTTCGTGTCTTTTAATTACACCTGTTGTATAATTTCAATAGGTAAATCAATCAGTCGTATTCAGAGCCTTCACAGGGACTGTATTGAGGATCGGATTTGGTCTTTCAGCTGCAGGTCGAACGCAGCAGCCCAAAGATGCGCATGGACACCAACTCTGAATACTTATGACGACGTCTTGGACTACAATTGTCCACATGATGGTTTTATTACAGGCATATATAGCTGGCACCATAACCATTATGAGGATCGCAGGTAATTCTCTCCTTAAATTAAAAAAAATGAAGGGATATAAAGAGGCAAAAAACGAAAAAGGAAGAAAATTTGTTATATGTTGCTAAAATAACGAGGAATTGGTGTCAAATAAGACATTCTTATTCTGTGAATATACTGAAAATGCGCTTAATTGGGCAGTCGTTGCTTCGATCAAAAGCATTGTTTCTCGTTTATTTCCGCTCTTTTTCTGATAGATCTAGCCAAGGTTTCATTCGATCAAAAAATTACTCAATTATTGAGAATTTTTATCGGATGATTTTTCGAATGTGTTTTCTAATATTAAAATTCGGAGAGGGTGTTTAAAATTTTGGAAAATTGGAAAAGATGGTATTTGGGGCTGTTAAAAATTAGAATATGAAATGATTTATTAGTAGACAAATACAAGATAGTCCACCACCATAGCAAGGTGGTTCACAGAGGCAAAATGTCGAATAAACGGTGCATAAGAGCAAGATTGCAGAACTTACAGCGTAGGTTATAAGCAGGATATAAAGCTGTTGAAGCGACATCACAAGCCGCCTGTTTTGCTTTACTTTAGCGGTTTTCCTGGCTGACTTGCTTGATTCTCCCTTCAGATGTTTTGTATGAATAACAAAATGCACTTTTCTCCAGCTAACGCTAATAATAGCACAAGTTTTAAAACAAAAATGGTTAAAAATCACTGGTTTTGCTCATTCACAAACAACAAACACACTTGTGAATAAAGCTGTGAACGATTCCGCCCGGGTTAGCGGAGCGGGCAAGATCGTCAAAAAACTGCCCGCTCTCGGAACCAATCAGATTGCAGGATTTGGAGGATTCCGCCCGCTCGCAAGCTTAGAAACAAAAATAAAATTTAACATTTTCTCTTGCAGGTTTCAGTTCAGGTGTTGCCATAGCCACTACTACAGACGCACGAACTGTCACTACACGCATTTTACAACAATGGACCACCCCTTTAATTATCTCGTCCCTTATGGCTACTATCTAGCAGGAGCATACAGCGTTCACTCTGACTACTATGAGTAAGCAAAACAACTCTAACACGAAGATATAACTAGCAATACACTACTGTTATTATGTACCTGATTTTCATCATGAAGCGGTGACTTGAAGTCAATAGCCCTGTTTCCTTTACCCTTCCTGGTCAATTCGTCAGTAAATAAAAAGAGTAGCAGACGCATATCCCGTTAGAGTACACCATGGTCAAACTCCTGACGCGTTTTCAGTTTCTTTTCATTTAGTGGTATTTTATATACTCTTAGTAAAAAACAGGTAATCTCCAGTTAGATTAAAAAAAAAAACCGAACAAAAGGTGTATTTTTCGGCCATTCTTATGCCTTTCCCTCATTTTTCTGCCATTCTCTTTCAGGGACCGTAAATGGAAATTCTATATCTGTCAGAAAGTGTAAGCCTAAGACCACAGCGAATACAGAGTTCTTCGTATTAAGAAGCATTGTACACTTCCACTAGTAATTATCCAAAAGTATATCAAGCAAGTTGAGCTCAATTTACTTTAGTTTAAAAACCTGTTATAAGATCCTTAGAATGAGTAGTCTGGAAATTTAGAGGTGTGATTTTCAAGACGTTTTTTACCTGAAGGAGCTGTTTTACCAAAAAAGAAGTCACTCGAAGTGCTCGGTGGCGTCGAAACCGGAAGTGACAATGATTTTGTAACCCCCCGGACATTGAATTAGTTTGAATAAAAACGTTTATATACACCGATCTGTGTAAAAATACCTTTTAGCAGAGAGGTTAAACTTCACGTTTACATCAAACGGCAAACCCGAATTTGTATGTACCACGTGACTGAGTTTCTCATTTACTTGTCGTTTACTGTTCATTATTTCTACACATAAATTAGTAGCTTCACGCAATTTTTTATTCATAAGAATTGTTTTGAACCGTTTTAAGCTGCTCATTTTCTATTTTGAGAAATTCTCAACTTGAATCTGACATTTGCCGTTTACGTGAATCCACTAGGACCTTCTTGAAGATGGCACCGAAAAAAATCTTTCGCTAGGTTCATGATTTAAGGGGGCCATTAAACATGGCTTTTCGTAAGCCGGCCTAGATTTCCTTTTTCTTTTATTTCTTGAGAAGCAAATGCTACGAAAGCCGAGGAGGGTCTTCCGACTTCCGACTTCCAACTTCCAACTTCCAACTTCCGACTTCCAACTTCCAACTTCCGACTTCCAACTTCCGACTTCCGACTTCCAACTTCCGACTTCCTACTTCCAACTTCCGACTTCCAACTTCCGACTTCTGATTTCCGACTTCCGACTTCCGACTTCCAACTTCCGACTTCCAACTTCCAACTTCCAACTTCCGACTTCCTACTTCCAACTTCCGACTTCCGACTTCCAACTTCCGACTTCTGATTTCCGACTTCCATCTTCCGTAGCAATGAATGGCGGTGATAGGCCTACACGACTTTTACCTTATGCTAAAATGCTGCTTGTTCCAAAAACGTTTTTTCCCTTCTGCTGGGTAGATTATGCTCTAGAAGGTTCCGGTTAAGCCGCATATTTCACATTGAGAGGTCATGGCACACATATCGATTTACCGTGGTTTTTGTTTCTGGTCGGCAGGATTTGCCCTCTGATGCAAGAGGATATTCTTTAAGCTTTTTAGTACGGCCGAGTAAGGGCTCTATTTTTCTCCAAAGTGCCTTGTGGACCTGAATAACTATGTGACTGTTTTAGGTCCGTGAATATGCACTGCTGTATCATGCAGGGCCCAGCTCGTTAGTTTTCGTTGCAGGACTTAAATTATCACGGATATTGATTTACAGATCCAAAGTGATAAGAATGAAGTGCAGCTTAAAATGAAGCTGCATCAACTATGGAGAATGCATTGTGACTTAGTAGATTCCAGCTTAGTGTTTAGTAAAGAAAATGTGAGTCTTTTGACTGGAGCGCGTATTTCCTTCCTTGGTTATAGGTTTTTAATTAGCTTAACAGTGTTTGGACTGTTTTGTTATCACTGTTGCCACTTTGTGATCAGGCAAGACTATGGTTTTGGTTCCCCAAGCGAACCTCATCAGTTGCCTTATTTGCTTTGTGCTTAGTTGCTTTTACAAGAGCAACTTTAGTTGTTCTCTTTTGTGGCTAGAACGGTACAGCCGTTCTTTCTACTGAGCCTTGACCTTAAGCATTAATGCCCGCGTGGCGGATCGAGCGGCAATCGAGCCCGACAGAGGAGTCAAGTCGGAAGTCGGAAGTCGGAAGTCGGAAGTCGGAAGTTAGAAGTGGGAAGTTGGAAGTAAGAAGTGGGAAGTGGGAGGTCAGAAGTCTAACCATGCAGCATTGACTCAACCGTCAGAAATCAGAAATCCAGAGTTCGAACTTTGTCAAGTCTGAAGTCTGAAATTTGAAGTATGAAGTATGAAGTCGGAAGTCGGAAGTCGGAAGTCGGAAGTCGGAAGCCAGAAGTCGGAAGACCCTCCTCGGCTTTCGTAATACGCAAATCGAACAAAATTATGATTTCTACGTATTTAGAGGGTGCACTTTGCAAAATAATTTTTTTGTTCTCACTTGAAAACAAAAAACGACAATATACTTGCACTGCCGCGTCATTAATAACAACAGTTACTGTGCATGTGATTGGCAGGATTTGAAGACACTAAGTAAATGTGAACAGCAATATAGAGCTCTTCTCTGAAAAAAGTACTGCCTGCCTTCTTAGACAAGAAAGCTGTTTTTTCTATTTCTATTTTCTCCTGTGAAAAAATTATGAAATCTGCAAACTAGAACTCAGGGTAAAAATAAAAATGGAATAATTGCTTACTTCTAAATAAACGCCTCTTGTCTAATAAACGTAACTACCCCTTTACGATGTAAGTCTATACTGTTCTAGTTATACGCCCCTCTCTAATAAACACCCTCTGTCTAATAGACGCGCCCTCATGACTGTTAATGTTATTCCAAAATTCTAGGGATAAACAAAAAGGAGCAAGACCCTTCAAATACTTTTCATAAACTCTTTTGATGTTTTCGCCGAAAGCGTAGTTTTGAGAGATTTTTATAAAATGAAAATAAATGCCATTTATTGGTTTATAATTAAACAAAAAGGAATTAGGTGGTGGAGGATTCAGCAAGAAAAAAATAATAATAATAGTAATAAAACTAGTTTGATAAAGCCTGGACTGCATGCCTGCTCGACACTTGTACAAAAAGGGCAAAAATTAAGGTTCCTAAACTTC